ACCATCATAATTAAACACCTAATGACTTTGATGGTCAAGAGTGACTTGACAAGACAAGTATTGTGTTGATTAATTATCCGTAGGTATGAAATATTATTTTATCGTGATAGCAAAAATTATAGCAAAAGTATGCCAAAACGACCTTTGAGACCCAAGTTAAGCACTTTTACGGTACAAATTATGTTAAGCAAACTCCATTTAAATGATAAATTGATTTTTTAAAACTTACGTCTAAAAGTTAATGAATAGAGTAATAAGAATATATCGTTAAAAGGTATTTTTTTTCTAAAATCCTACATCAAACGCTTTTGATTACTTTCAAACATACTATGTTTGCATGACGCTCTAATCAAATTATGAAAAACCTTAAAGAGGTACTAAAGTATTAAATGAATACATTTCATATTAAGATAGCTCCAGTTCAATGGTTAATAGTTTTTTGAAAACTTACATCTAAATATTAATAAATACAGTAATAATAATAAATATGTATAAATATGCATTCTCTGAAATCATGCACTAGTCGGCCTTTCATTTCTTTCAATTGTTGTACAATTCAGAGGCGTACGTGAAGGAGGGTGGGTAGTCTAGGCATCTCCTAAAGTTTTGTGGACTCTAAAAGTCGAGTCCCTGGGTCAGTTTTCAGGATATAATCTGAATATTAGTAGAATGTGAAATAAATAAAAAAAAGAATTATAAAACTGTTCTACAAAATTAGACAAAATGTAACGTAGGTAGGTACACAATTTTATATTCGAGTGCTAAAACCTTCGTTTATAATACGATAAGTACCTATACCATGACTCGAAATCATTTTGAATAATCAAGCCCATTCATAGCATAAAAATACTTCGAAATAATGACGATTTAGTTTAAGTCAAAGACAATAAATTCATTAATTGAACCACTTAATAGTCGGCGGTCACAATACATTTTTGTATTACATAATTGTTATTATTGTTTGTATAATTGTATATTTATGTTATAGGTAAGTTGAATACCTTAGAAAAATAATTGTCGTGGTAGGTGAGGACCCAAATAACATTTTATATTATTATAATATTATAATAATATTTTGGGTTTCCCTAAAATACCATAGACACCACCTGAAATAGAAGTCCTGGCACGCCTACGAATTTGTACTAAATTTCTCATCGCTCATTATAAATATTTACCTTATACACTAAACTATGCTAAAATACATTGCACATTAAGAAGATGATTACTATATATTATAATCGAATACATATATGTAATATGCAACAACAGTAATGCATTTTTTTTTTTTGATAATAATGTATCAAACGTAACTATCATTTTTTGTTAATCAATTAATACATTTTTGAAAACTTAACTAAGTATTAATGAATACAAATCAATAAAGTAATAAATTAGTTTTAAGGAAATATCCTATTTACTAAACTAAGACTAGGTCCAATAATATGCTTACATACTAAGTTTTTCAAGGACATCGAATATTTTTTATGTTATTTAGAACATAGATACCATTATATTAGTTATCTTATTTATGTTTAAAAATGTTCAATTTATACACCGAGGTGACTCGAATTTTTCAGAGGGTTGGGATGGTTGTGTCGATAATAATTGATTTAACCATATTGGAATCACAATACCTGGTTTTCATATTGAACGACATCCATGATTGGACCCTTTCACCCCTTCCTCAACAAGAGAGCGCCAAATGCCAAATCAACATTAACAACTCATTTTTGAATCATTCATTTATAAAATGAACGGGAACATCATTTTTAACTAAATGATATATTCATTTTTAAAAAATTAATCAGATTAACGAATCAACGATCAAAAGTTTAAAGTTACATTCCTACATTCCACACTTTCGATTTCTTTGAATTTATTGTACTACATTAGTCGATGTTCTTTTGAAATAAAAATAAAATCTTTTCTGCCCCAAACCATGATTACAATAAATGTATATAATGATATTATATTGTACTAAGAGGTTTTCAAGTGATCGCTCTTAAATTGATATGGTTTGGGTGATTTCAATGATATTTTAAGTAAAATTAAAATAATAGGTATAGATACATACTAATTCGAAGTAACTTACAAGTGGTCCCAAGTAATTACGAAGTTTAGTAGCAAAATGCTTTCTTTCGAGAAGAGAACCAAAAAACAATACTGTTGTAAGTATCGTTAAAAAACAAATCATGTTTCTCCATAATAACACGATTTTTTCAACTGTGTGACATAATATTTATGTGTTAATTTGAAATAAAAAAATGATGTCCTGTCATAAATTATTTTAGAAAGTTCGAATTTAGCTATACCTATTTAACGGTTGGATTGAAGATAATACATTTTTATCAATAACATTTTGTTGATAACTCATAATTCATAGTAGTAAAATTATCCAAAAATTGCATCTTAAAGTTTGACTTTGGATATATTTTTATTATCTACCTACGATTACTTATATAATATATATTTATATAAATATTTATGTGACAACAATGCATAAAATAATTATTTACTAAAAACTTAAATTACTTTACATAACTTATAAATCATCAAAAACATTGTTGACAATGTACCATATATTAAAATCAAAATAATTGAAGGGCTCCTCTGAGGCAAGTTCAGTTATTGTTTAGAAAAGTACATTTTGATCCCTGTCTTTTTATTTAAATGTATGTCAAAGAACGAAGCATAATATAAAATTATTTTTTTCTGAGATCATTGTATCAATCGATTTGCCAGCTTGCTTGGTTTTAGACTGGCGGTATATTGTGCCCATTTTTACCAAAAAAAAAAAATACTTGAGTAGGTATTACTACAAATTCATTTACTTTTTCAAAACAACATTTTAAATATTTTGTTTTATGCTATAATATCGAGTACAATTTAAAAACTCAAAAATATAACTCTATATTATTAGCAAAAATCTGGAAAGTCAGAAAATATTTTCAAAACTAAAATTAAAATGTTTAATCAAGGAGATAATAAAAACTGTTTGAATATTATGATCATTTAGTACATGATTTTTCTTCTTGAAAATTAAATGCACTTGCGTTTTGTTTAAGGAGCCATTCAATAAATAATTATTTATAGATAATAACTGTAAGTATTTACTAATGGTAAAAGGATTTATATGCAATATCAATTAGTAAAATTAAATATTTATTTATTTTAATAATAATATGTAGCAATCCGATATGATGGAATAGTTTTATAATGTATATATATTATTAAATTTCGAGTTTGAGAAATTAATTGTGTTTTTATGATATACATCAACTGAATAACCAACATGCAACAATAATAGTATTTATACATTTGACTTTAAATTTTGAAACGTGAACGATTGAGTGATATTTTAAATATTTGTGCAAAAAAAAAAATCATAGAAATTGTATAACTATTTGTGTATGTAGCATTTTAAAGATTCTGTTCATCAAATTATAATACCTACCTACATATATACACGCATAATATCCTCGTTGTATCTACAAATTTAATAAATATCTTTCAACCCTCGGGTTCCAAATAAGATCATATTTATTAATTGTTAATAGACATTTCTGGCTACTATTATTTAGTCACGAGTATGGTGAAAACTTTAAAATACGTTTTTTTAAAAATATGTCGCAGATTGATATGAAGTGGCTTAAAGCCAAGTCACAAGTTTTAAAATGTAGCCTGTGTTTAAATGTAATTACTGCGAGTTCAGTCAAAGTTCTCAAAATGTCAAGATACAACCAAGAGCCAGTTAAAAATGTAACAGAAAATCTTGCATAACATATTATGTAGTCACAACCTTAGACTCTATTCAGTAGGTCACAGTTTGAAAAAAAAAAAACAGAAATATATAATAATTTCATTCGTTAAAGAATTTTTAAAAATGAAAATACTTTACTTGGATGTTGCTAAAGAATAAAAATATACTTGATTAACTAATGCATATAAATCCTAGCCCTTAAATACTAAACAACCGATCTTAAACTAAATTAATTTAACTGTTTATCTTAAGCGTATTTGTACTTAATTATCAAATGATATAGTTAATTTATGAAAATACAATTGGTATAGCTTTAAAACATTCACTTCTAACGGAGCGAGGTTTTCTTACAGCCATAGTAGGTAACAGCCATTTTATGAGCTATGCAATTAAATAATGATGACATTGCTTTGTACATCTGTGAAAAAAAATATAGTTTTAAAAGTGCTATTTTATTGTTGCCAGTCACAAAGATTCAGAAGAAATGGATTGGATAGATTATTTGAAAGAACCTTTCTTTATTATTGTTTTTTACATTTCATTTAAATGGGCTTCAAAAGTTTCAATTAGAAAATCTTAAAACGTAGTTTATTGAATGTCAAATTAAACCTTAAATTTTCAGTGTTGTGGTTAGTTTAAAAAATATAAATAAATAAATATAATATATTAATTCTGATTTCATTTACATATCATCAAACATATGTAAAAAAAGTGTATGATAGTGGATTTACAATTATTTTTTCATACACTAATGGCTATAAAATGTTAGGAATTCAATGCAAAGTGCATATTCAAATAGGTAAATAATAATATGATTTATGTGTAACAGATAATTAAAAAATGAAAATATTATTTTTTACATGAGATTTTTTTCTCTTTGTTGAATTTTTTTAGAAATATTAGGTAATTTTAGTGTTTTTAAATTTTTCAAAATTTAATTTCAAAATTTGGTCATTTAAAAAGTTCATGTATAGAAAATTTAACAGGTAAAAATAGTTCATCGCATCATAATGCAGCCTCAAGATGATGTTCACCGATAAAAACTACAACGCCATTTCCAATTGTTCAATCTTTGAATTGATATTACATTTTCTTATGTAGGTATTAAATTTGATTGTTTGTATGAAAATAAATAAACATTTTTAGTACTTTTTTTAAGGTAATTTATTTATTTCACAATATGGAACATACACAAATTCATATAACTAACATCACTACATAAATACAATAACAACATGGAATAATACATACATTGTTTGAACTAATTAAAATTACAAATATAAAAAATAATAATCATTAGTATAAGAGAAATGTGAAAAGATATTACGAGTCATAGCGGCATGTAGAGATCCAGTTTACTGCTTTTGGAGTCACTACATGTAATCACTGAAAACCGTGGCGGAATTTTTCTTTTTGGCATTCTATTAAAATGTGTTAACTGGCTGTATTAAATTTCCATAGTCACAAGCTAGATTAGTTTGAATCCCCCATCTACGTGAAAGAACTCTTACAATGACTTTGAACTGTCCACAATCTGTTATATAAATTCAGGTACTTAAAGAGATGTTCATCCATATGATTCCGCTATTACTGGGGTTAGCCAGTCCCACATTATTGTAGTTGTAGAGATAGCCTAAGGCAACCTATCCCCTGTTGTTTATTTTCTAACCCCTGTTAGGCTCCTGGAATTCAATAACAACTTGAGAGCATGTCTAAGCCAAACCAGGTTGAAGCGTTTCCTAAAGATAGGTCCTAACGACGTTTTTTCGCAATCATTTTAACAACTATTTGGTTATAGGGATCGACATTAGGCGGACCCGCGAAATTATGTGGTCGAGTTCTTTTGGATAATGAATTCAGTTGGCTTTTCTAAAAAGGATGAAGCGCATCAATAATATTTATTATAATAATATCTATAATTCCACACAATAGGGAGGTATAGGCTATCTGGGAAATTTCATAAGAAGTGTAGCGTTATCATCGAGTTAACTTATGGGGGAATTTTTGAGGACAAAAGGGATGTTATAGAGCGTTTTATGCATTATTTTTAGTACATAAAATTGTATTCATTTATTTTTCCACTGACACCCCCCCCCCCTCCACTAACACCAAATAAAGGCATATAGGCATGTTAGTATCACAAAAAAGATCACGCCCGGCATGAATTTTTCATTTCATTATTAAAATCCCAAAACAAAATATTACATAAATAATATTATGAGGTGTTCTTATTACTTACCAATAATTTTAGCATTTGAAATGTTCATGTTTACGAAAATTCATGATTGAAAATATGTGAACAATTTGAGCGTTTAGTACATCTATTTCTATTGAACGTTGCCATGCTTAAAAAATTTAATTTAATTTAATTTGGTGTTCTTGAAGAACAATGTCGTAATATTATGGTATTAAAATGGTATTATAATATAATCTATTATACTTTGGTTCCATTTCGGTCATCACAATCAGCATTATAATGGTTTCTTCTGTACAATTCTTGCTCAATACGTATACTTTGATATTCAATTATTTCATCAATCTAAATAAAATAAAAAACATTTTTGTTTATCTTTTGATTAAGATGTAACAATAAAAACGATGATATTTACCAAACTATTTTTTTTATAAATTTCGATTTTCTCAAATTTCCGCTTTAACTCGTTGTGTTTTTTTACATGCGTTTCCATTTGTTCCACTGAATTGCTGAACATAAAGCATTCCAAACATTTCCATCTGTAGTAAACAAAAACATTGTTAGTCATTACAATGTTTATGAAAGAGTGGGGAAAAAAATAACGAAAACAGTTGCTTTACAGTGTAAAATTTATTTCTTCTAATAAATGTTTGCGAAAAGATTCTTTTTCATCAATTACGAACTCGTTGCATATGGGACATTCGTATTTGACTGTTGAATATAATAATTTCAAATAATTTTCTAGTTGGCCGGGGGGGTTGTCAAGTATTTTCTCTTGATCTTCTGATACAACAAGCGATTTTGTCGTTTCCCGTGGTGCGTGTAACGCGGGCGTTGGTTCTGCGACAACGTCAAAAGCTTCCAGCACATTTTCCAAATGATTTTTTTTACTCGGAAAGTGTTCATCGACGTTTATTTGCTTATTGGCCGTTTGTAATTCTACATCTGGACTAATCTAAAAAAAATTATTTTTATTTTTGAAAAACGGTCAATAATTTACTAAGACAAGTACGTTAGCATAGTACACGTCTTGTTAATATATTATTTACCACACATTTTATCATGCAGCTATAAGAACTTACCTTATCAAAATGTACGTTCAAGTACTTTACTTCCATGGATGGATGTTTCAACTTGAAATGTCGTTCAAACACATAATAATCATTGCTATCATATATACACATAGGGCATTTAAACATGTTTGATATCTTATGAACTATTGATAGGTGTGCAGAAATTTGAGTTATTGTATATTTAATACCAGGCATACATATATTACATTTCCATTCACATATTTCCTCATCTATTACAAGTTTAAAGAAATAAGTAACTGACATAACATTAGCTGCACATAGTTGTACATATAGAGTTCAAATCAGTTATTTACTTATACAAATTAACCATAGAATAACATATACACAAACCTGGATTACCACTTCTGATTGCTACTATATTGAATTTATTCTCACCGTTCACTCTAAACGGATGCTTCCTTTTCTGGTGTGATTCTATTTTTAAACGATTATAATGAATGTAATCACAATACTGACAAATGTATAATTCAATACCATGAAAATTCAAATGCAACTCAAAATCACGTAGATTATAAAACGAAACAATTAATGGCCTACAATGTAGACATCTAGAAAAATGTATACAAAAAACATATTATGATGAAATAGAAACAAGTTCCTGAAGTTGGGTGATACTGCTTGTAGTAACTTGGTCATACTTACACATAATAGAAACACTTTCGATGAAATGAATTGCGTATATGGTGCTCCAGATTTTCCATACTGACACCGATATAATTACACAATAATGGACATGTAAACCGTTTATTTCTTGGAACAAACTGGGGAAAATAACTGTTTGGTTTGTGTAATGGAGGTGTATAGTTAAATTTTAATATAAAATCATCTGTATTATTTTCAACTGTTCTTATCTGAAAATAATGTTTACAATAATTGATATTTAAAGTTGTGCATTATACAGGACTGTAAAAACCAAATCAATTAAATTGATTTATTCAAAATTTAAAACATAATATTTAAAAATAATTGTTTATGATTAGTGGAAATGCTACCTTTTTATTTTGTTTTACTTTACATGAAGGTCCTTTTCCATGGCGGTTCAGGTGTGACAAAAGATGAGCTCGAAAAATAGTTTTGAAATTGCACAGTAAACATCATACTGGTTTCGAGAAGAATTGTGTTTGTCTATTGCTGTCAATATCGGCAGGATAAAAATACATAGATCTTGTAACAATTCGAATAGTATCGTATAACCTATGCCAGTTATGTTTTTTTTTTGCCAACGGAGGTGACGTTTTACAGTTTTTAATAATAATAATAATAATAAAGTTAACATATTATAATGGTGAATGAGGATTTCGGTAGCCCAAACCGAGTCTGAGATTTTCAATAAATAATTTCATGTGAAGTTGTCATATTATGATATGAAACCGATTTCTTCAGCTACATGGTAGATTTTTAGTACAGGTAGGTAATACCCAGGTGACATTAAAAGAAAGTCATGATATGCATGAGTCAAATTTGAAATCAATGATAAATCAATGAATACGAATAAAAATTACTGAGAGGGTGGAACAATACGGGTGTGAATTGCCATGTATAAGTCTACTAAGGATTCATATTTTACTATACTATATTATATTCATGTTATGATAATAATTTATTAATTCAGCAGATTAAACAAGTGGCTTCATTCATATTTTACTACTTAGGGGACATGAGTAAATATTTCACAGGCTCTTTAAAAAAAAAATAGGCTCTTACTAAAACACTTTTTGTTTTTTTTTTTCAATATAATGAATTCTCCAAAGTATTTCTGTGTTATTGAACTGGAGTGGAATATATTGTTGCATTTAGTATTGACCTCCCAGTGTATCAGTGTTATTTTAAATTAATAAAATTAGAAATTTGTATAGAAATGTTATATAATTGTAAGTGTTGAGTGTACCTCAACATTTTGTAATATATAAATATAATAGTATTTGTTAAATTTGAATTCTATAATAAATGATTGTACTCTATCTTGTACTTAAACGATGAAAACAACTTTCTGTGGAGACAGAATGTTGGCCTATAATATTTTAAGGAAATTTTATTTAGTTTTACTTAAAACCATCTGAATTTTTGTGAAATTCTCTTTTCATTGTTTGAATTGTTTTTAAAAAATAAACAACAATGGGTACAAATCTTTGATATCGGATAAAATTGTTTTTCAACATCTTCTAATATACCAAAATGTGGAATCTTATTATCAATTTCATTTTCATTTGTTGTCAATAGTGTAAGTAATGTTTTGTATTCTTGTAAATTTTGTGTTCACTGACTACACAACTTTTTATGGAAATAAATTCAGCTGAGAGTTAGTTAAGCTGAGCTGATACATTTTTTATAAACATTTATAAAAATAAGTGAAACTTATTAAATATCTATAATTACCTACCCTAGAAAGTGCAAAAATATTTTGAAAATTATATCATATCTATTAAATGCTAATATAAATAATTTATATAAATATACATTTTTTTGTATCTTTATAAGTATCTACTAATATCTTTTCGGTGAGTTGCTCGATAACCATCTTATTAATACTTTCTTCTTGGTTTTAAACAATTAATACATTTAATAGTACAGTAGGTATTATTTATGGTAGGAAGTGAAGACGTTTAAATAGTAGAAAACTCATTATGTCAACCTTCAATATTATTATTAATTCTTGGGAGTTTCTAGCCTTTCAAATGATCAAAACGATTTAAAATGCCAATTGTGAATCAAGGAAATTTTTGTCTTCTTACCCTATCTAAAATTCCAATCTAGGTTCTTTCAAATTATGAAATTATCGGTGACAACAGTTCCTAATTTTTTGTGTGAAATACATTTTTTAAGAGACCTTAAGCGACTTCTGTCACCATTTTTGTAGGAACGAAAGTAAGCAGAGATCATTTTCTCCACTCTAGAGCAAATATAGGATCACTAAAATATTAAGGAGATGAACCATGTGCAATGCCTTCAAATCGCTAAACTTATGAAAGAAAACCTTGAATTTTCGTTTTTGGAAATTTTAATTCAATATAATTCATTAGTTACTGTTTTTTCGAAGTCAATTAAAAATGAATTTGGATTTAAATCTGGTTTATTAATTTTAAACAACATTGTAGTATAAGTGCTTTGTTTTTGACCGGTTAAAAATATATTCCAAAACTTATTACATTAGAAAATTGAATTGCATACATCGTATAATTGGTAAAATAAATTGGGACATATTAAAATGTACTATGAGCTAACCAGTGTTTCAAACATAGCAGAACTCCTAAATTTGTCCATGTCAAAAAATAAAATTTCGATCATCAAAGTATCTAGAATTAGCACGGGGGAAAAGAACCTCCTCGCCACTCAATATCTTTTTGGATAAATCTTTAAATAATTTGGATTGGCATTGGCAATTTGTTTAATTTGGCATGCTCGTTGTGTTGTTATTCTTAAAGCTCTCGGAGCTTAGTAGCTGGGCTGATAATGAATAAAATAAATTGTTAATATAAAAATAGATTAGGTACAAATGTATTTTTAAATTTAATATTTGTTGAGTTGAATCGTAGTGCGATACAATTTTAAATGTACTAAATTATGTATTTGCTGTAATTACGGTACTCAGTTGATGAGCGCTGGAATTACATTGTAATTTATAATCAGTACTATTAATGACGAGTATTTGGATGAAAAATGTATACGATAATTCGTATCTAAGATTAAAAAAAAAATCAATAAAATTGATTTATTCCATAATTTTTGTTAGGTACATAGATTTTCCCATTTTCCGTTGTTTTTTGAGAGTTTTTCCCAATCATTAAATGTAATTAAATTCTTGTTTTGACTGCTTTTCAACTATATCAAATATGATACCAGAAGCCACATTCAATGTTGAAGATTAAAAATTTAGAACTCACACACATTTTATGATTCAAAACGTTCGTAATCCAAAAAAATTATTTTACTAATTACTTACATCGGTGCTCTCAATGGAATGTTTTCTTTTTGTGGTTTTGTATGGTTGTTCTGATTCATCTAGATTGATTTTAATCTGCTGTCTTGAGGTATTCGTAGTATTCTTAATAACTGTAGTTAATTGAGAATCATCAAGTTTCTTTTCAACTTTAGAACGTTTCATACGGGAGATGGCTATATTTTTAAGGATTTCGGAGTAAAAGGTACCATCATTTGCTGGTATTTGTCGTTTCAAACACTTATCTTCGCAAACGAGAAATCGGTCTTTTTCGATATCAGTCGCGTTAAAATCTAAGGGCACGAATACGACGTTGGAGATATTGTGTACTTCTTTTACGTGGATCTTGGCAATGTCAGTAGATGGTAATTCTAAGTTGCAAAAAGTGCATGTAAAACAGTTCGGAGTGAGAAGCTTCGAAAGTTTTACAACATCAAATGTCGACTCCGACTGTGCCAAGCAGAAAGTACACTTAATAGGAGTTTCTAAAGGACACCGGTTCAAGTGGTCTTCATACGAAATATAGGCTGGGATGACTTTATCTGAAACATATGCAGTTACAACCGTTTTAAAGTTTGATGTCCAACTTAACAATGACGAATTCAATTCATAGGCGTCATAACAGTATCGAACCAATGGTATAACAACCTAAGCATTTCTTAACGGAAAACTCATGAAGATAGGTTTGTTCACTTTGTCACCTCCACCATATACAAATGAGTATTATAGTAAGATTTTAAAATAAGAGTTCTTGACAAATTAATACATATTGAAATATTTTTTATAATTACACTATTAAATTGATTTTAATATTAGGTTAGGGGACTGAAAAAGTCATTCAAGACTTTAAATTGTAATTACACATTAATTTATTTTTATTTTTCTTATTTACTACTAAGTAAGCCCTGACCCTCCACTAAACCACTCTTACTCATTGTTTATCTAATATTTGTTAGACGGAAAATAATCGTTCACATATTATAATGTAATATGGTTAATAATTGGTAAAACTATTATTCTAACATGACCATGTATTATATATTATACACATTTAGCACAGCCTCGGGATAGTCGAAGTAAAGTATAACATATATTTGAAGATTAGTGGGATTCAATTTACATCACGTGACTAAGCCTCATCTTATTTGCTCCTATGAAGTCTATCAAACTTTACTAAACGTAGGTACTATTACCCTTATTAGAAATCAACATACTCTGATCCAACGGTTCGTCGCATGAAGGGATTTCTAAAGATTTTTCTTCAGTTTTTATTCCAATATCATTTTTTAATTCAAAATTGTTTATAATATCATAATTTGATAGTTGTGATGAATTTCTTTTGTCTTTTATAATTGAAGCCCCAACATTTGGAATTCGTTTTGCATCTATTGGAACATTTCTTTTCGCTTCATCAGATTTAATAGTTATATTTTTGTTACCAATAGCCGGTTTTAGTGTATTTTTTGAGGGGCGAACAACTTCTTTAATACTTCTTCTTGGGAGTTGAGTAGCATTGTCGAATTTAACTGTGTTCTCATTAGCACATGTATTTCCAGAATCTGATTGACAAATTTCATTATTGTGGCTTATATTATAAAATCTCTCAAATTTTGCATATATTTTGGACCAATCGATCGGTTTATCGGATCTTGAGGGCTGAGTTATATTTTCAAAGCCAACTGTTTTGGTATTTGTACATGACGTGTCAGCTGGATCTGCTTGACGTTTTTCATTAATTTGACATTCTTTTTTACTAATATCTTTTAGTGATTTAACATTCACTACTTTTATTATACCAGCCGGTATACATTTCTTAATATTTAAAATTTTTAGATTTTCTATCTTTTTGTTGTCCTGCAATAAATAATTGTACAACATATTCATAATTATTGTTATTATATCCTCTTATTTATTATAGACTTTCTTCTTTAATAAGGTACTTACACAAAAATTGTTTATAGGACGGCGCTCCAAACATAAAGGTTCATATTCAAAATGCTCCATCGCTAAATGAATTATCATAATATTGATAAATTCAGCACCAAACAAGCAGAAAATACATTGATATGTGTTAAAACTGTGCAAATTGAAATGCTGAAAAACATGAATTATAATATTTTACCAGAAATAATTACTTTAAATATAATTGGTAGGTACATTATAATTATTATGTCTGGGCATTTTCGAGTTAATAAGTAAAAAGTTAAGTTGATTTAACTTAAACTCAACTCATTTGCGACTACTTTAACTTTAAATAAAATTGTAGTTTCTTAATTGTCCCAATTCAGTTAATTTTGAATTGTCATATTATCCAGAAAAAAATTTTTGTTTAAAATACCGTTTATAACTATACATTTGTTGAATATAGGAAATACCTATAATAGGAAAAATAATGTTTTAAGTATTTATGAAGAATTTTTTATTAATATTGGTAGATAAACACAATTTATCATATTAATTGACATTAATATAGGGAAAAAATTAGTTTCCCATATAAGTTCATTAATATTCATGATCAAGGCCAAGGCTTGGAACTTTATGAACAAAAAAGTAATAAAATGTGTGCGTACTTATGCGTTAAAAAACATCAAAATATGTGGTATAACATGCAGTAAAAAATTTTAAAATGACTCATGACTATATTGTGTCATCGAATTAAATTCTTAATCCTCCTTAATACGATCATTGCGGATTGTATATTATTTAATTTAGTTAACTAATCTGAGTTTAAAAAAAATCATTTATTTGCCCAGCATTGATTATTATACTTAATTTTGTGGTTTTTGCAGAGAGACTTGAAAATTTAAACGACATAATATGTCTCAGATTGTTAATTGAAATTTAAATATTGATTAAACATAAACTTGAGAAAAATCAAATAGTTTTAAAGTAGAATATATTTAATGTTATGTAAAATTATAAAAATTGTCGATTAAATCAGAAGTATAAATTATAGCATGCTTATGTGATATTTATTTATATTTATTTAATGTTATATTATAATGTGAAAGTTGGAGTTCCATCAATGAACGGTTTTCTCCACACTTATACGGATGTACGCATATCATTATTTATTTAATTTACAACAAATGTTCAATTATATTTTTTGTTATGTAACATTGTGTAGATAGTATATTTTACTAAATAAAAAATAAAATAAAGTAAATCTCTATATATAAAGGAAATACTTCAGCAATAATCAACGCAGAGCCAAACCTATTATCGAGTTGAAATTTTGAGGATTGATTAATATTATAATGTCAAGTTCCACTTGGAAAGGATTTCTCAAAAATTTGATTTTAAAGGGTTGAAATCAGCAAAAATAAATCGTTTACATAAAAATTGTATATCTATATACATTATATATATTTTATAGAACGGCGACCTGTGTGTTTCTATAGCGACATGCAACCATAACTTTTTGTCCGTCTAACTACGTGTTTGATTGGAGTGTAAATATGAATTGTTCCGAGAAGTAAAATTCAACAATCTATATTTATCTAAGTATATAAAAATAAATCCCTATTTTCCTTTATCTCTTATCATTTAAAATAGATCCATCTATCTCATACCCATGATATAAAACAGTTTATAATAGTGTTAATTTCACAGTGGAATCAATCGGAAAATGAACGAAATATTTTACAGTTAGTTTTTTGATAAGTGTTTGTTCAGCATGGTTAGTTTAAGCAATCACGATTAAAATTTTAAACAACCAGTGGGCCGCTGCGCCGTACAATATGTGTATAGGTATACAATTTGCACGTTTATTTTAATAAATAACTAATTTTCCAAGTAACTTTCTTAATTTTTTAGCAGAACTTAGTATTTTTTTAAATTTTTTGGTTGCCATTGGTTAATCGGACCAATCAGGTTTCAGCATGCATCAAATCGAATTTTAGTACATTGCCTACCTGCAAGGTGGCTGTTGGCAGAGTTACACTTATAACCGCTCATCGGTGTGTAGACAATCAAAATAATTAATAAAATTAAAATTAAACATATTATTCATATATTATACAGTGTACCTATACCTAGCGGGGTCCGCAATCCACCGCAGGCGGATAGTCTACATGATAACATACTGTTCACATTATCACAAGCGAATCTCATATAGAGTTGGCATTTTCAATGGGCAACTAAGTTATGAGTATACAAGCAAATATTATTATTATTATTATTGTTGTTGTTTTATTTACAATTCAGCTAATACTACTATTTAGTACTTGATATCATTAAGTAAAAGACATTTTTTTCTTCTTTCTCGATATCTGAGGGGGTAAAAGAAGGGTTTCTTATATAGCTATACAATACAACGCAGTAACGCCGTGACGGGACAGCAAGTATTGTGTAAAGAATTTGTACAGAGTCTTAAAAATGTGTTTAAAAAGAAACGTTATCAAATTATAAATATATAAGCTAATTGCCTAAAATAAACAAATAGCATGCTTACTTTAACGAATGATGTCGGGTTGAGTGATACAAATTCATTTCCATCACATTTATCACAGATGTCACAATAGAACTGGTCACAATTAACATGATCCTGGCTCAAATGATACAAGAAATCACTATTGAGATAAGAATAGAAATCGCAGTTTCCTAAATGAGTCAAAATAAAATATAGACTTAATCAGTGAGATAATATCGATTTTTTTTAGGAATAATATTTTAATATTATTACACCTATGGAGCAGTGTGATTCATTTATGACACAACAATCCTTATTTCAAAATAAAACTGACTTTTTTCAAAATATTTTTAATTTCATGGTTTCAAGTCGTTACAAAACAAAATTTTTTAAAGGAAATTTTTTAAAAAAATTATATTATAACTTTTTGAATGACCAAACAGTAAACACAATTATAATTTCATATTCTAAAGCAAAATATTTTTCTGACTATTTCGGAACGTAAAAATAAAACTCATGACGAATATAGTGTCTATGAATTATAAGTATTTAAAGCGCAGACGGGCGGACATGGTTATCTCACAAAATATTGGTCTAACTATACTAAAATCATCAATAAATTAAAATATACTGATTACTCATAAATTACTCGTCCTAAATTCGGTTTTTATGTATCAAATACTGAAACAAATATTCTGCTTTAGAATATGAAATAATAACTGGAAATAGTCGTTCAAAAACGTAAAAAACTTAAGCACCTATAAGAATATAAAATATAATTTTTCAAAATCTTGTGTTAAACCAACGTCACATCATGTAAAACATAAATTTTTAAAAATGCAATACTATACGAAATAATCAGTAAACAGTTTTGTGTGATAAAATAACCACTCAATATACAAAGCATATTTATGCATTAGATACCTACAAAGTTAGTAAATTAGTGTGGGATAGTAATATAGATTCGTAGAAAAAAAAAATTAACTATATCTATATGTATATTATCAAAATAAAATTATAAAATGTGTATCATTTAGTAAAAAAAAAATACAATTTAATAAAATAATACAGACTGATAACCCTAAAACTAAATCAGGGGTATGACACTGTGATTTGGCTAGATCAATTTATTGAGTATCGCTCTATATTGTCCTACCTATGACTAAATTAAAATTATTATGGTCTATTGAAAATAGTAATAATCAAATGAAACATTTGAAATTTAACATTTTAATATTTAATCTAATGTTTTGTGATAAATTTAGTAATAAAATGGTTCAAAGTTTTGTGAAAATTTCAAATAAAAAAAAACCGTTTTGAAGGAAACTTAATGATGTCACCCCCAAACCTCGTTATTGATAATTTAATTTCTGAACTTCAATTTTAAGTTTAAAATAATGGTCTCAAAACCCTGCGAAATGTTCGTAAGAAATTTAAAACTCGGAGAGCTGTGAAACTTAGTTCTCAATAACACTTTTTCTACATTTGAATACTGTGATCAAATTCAGGTGGTAACAGTATTTTATTTTATGTATTATTACTGTTTATCCTTAGTGTTCTTTCAACATCAAATATTTTTTGTTGTCATAATGTTTTAGAATTTTTTGTCTTTACGGCCGTGTAATAACTACAATAAGTCTACAGTGAAATCTATTTTACTGACTATTATAAGAAAACGTGCCTGAACGGATCGAAAATCATTTAACTAATTAGAGATTAATTATTAATGTATAAAATACTTCTAAGCTAGAATAATGGTTATGAAAAGTGTTTTAAGGAATTTAAAATTAACTATTCCACGACGCATTGTATAATATTAGTAAATAAAAATTTGAGGTGGGTTGAACTCGAATATATTGTCTTGGACCTAAAATTTTAATCAAATGCAGAACAGAAACAATTTAGTAGGTATTTTAGTGTGATATCGCTCAAACCGAACATTTCGTTTAATACCTATACTAAACTGAACCTGAACCGAGCTTTTGAATTAATTTACAAATAAAGCTTTTTGGTTTTATGTAAAAAAAAAAAAACACTTACAATCATGTCAATATTTACTGAATTTCAATATTTTTGTTCGAGTTTGTTAGGTTCGGTTTATTCACATTCAAACTCAAAGTGTTGAAGACGATAAGTAATAACAAGTTAGCCAACGACCGACACTCACACACACGCACATCACCGTTAATTTGTATTATTTTATTTTTGTATTTAGTGCCGTGTGTGAATTATATAATATGAAATTATCGTTTTATTTTTGTATCTATTTAAATGTGTCCAGTGTGTTGTACCTATATTCCTAATATGTAGATTAGTAGAGGGCTATCGCACTTCGCCGAGCCGGCACTGCGATATTATGATTTAGCACGGCCGCCGCAATCAACGATATCATTTTAGTCCGTCCAGTGTTGTCAAAAGAAAAACGTGAACCCCACAGGCGCGAATCGCCAGTAAAATTGTATTTTCATAAACAGTAAAACCTGTCTTGGGCGGAACTGCAAGGGACCAATAAAAATTGCCCCTTTAGGCAGGTTTCCATACAACCGAATAAAAAGGAAAATTCCGTAGTAGCATTGGGTATAGATATCTATACTCAATGGTAGTAGGTATAGAGTTATAATATTCTGCACGATTAAGGTTGTAACATTTTCCGGCCAATAATAAAAAATATCAAAAGCTACATATCATAGGCCTAAACTTAAACAAATCTTTGAAGACATTATGATTTATGAGAGCAAATGGGTACAACGATACGAAACGACAGGTAAACTACGACTACGGTGACAATAATAATCACTGATGTGTAGATTCAAGACAAATGTACTTATCTGTCGATACGTGTTAATCGCTGATCTTAATGATTGATTAGTAGCAACATAAATGTGGGTATCAAAAATATTTTTGTTCATTTTATGATGAGTTTTCCATGTAAATGAGGTGCATATGATTTGCGGGACCAATAAATAGCTTTCCGTTTTACGTTAGACAGATTCCGTCTTATCAAGGGTTTAATCCTATGTTAAATTATGGAAATCTGCCGGGACCATAATAAATTTCCGCACAGAAAAGGATTCCGTCTTATCGAGGATTCGGATTAAACGGGTTTCACTGTAAATTTTTGTATGAATTTGCCCGACCCAAATCGCCAGTGTTTTTTTATTGTACTTGGTGTGTGCGCTAATCGCCACTTTTCATTTTTTATATTTCGTATTATATAATATCGAGTGTGTCAATTATAATTTATTAAGCCGCACAAGTAGCAGCTGGCCAGCCGTGCCCCGTCAAATTGTGAGTTTTTAAACCTTATTATTACTTTTATTATTATTTAACATATTTAGTTGTTGGGCCCGGAAGGGCCATCATATTGTTATTTATTCTTTTCGGCCAAAACGGCTGTGATTTATTATAATATTATTATTGTACCTTTTATAACGTTGTGTTGCTGTGAATTTGTATAATATATTTATTGTACTATTAGCTATATCGTGTATTACACGGTAACGCAGAGTTACCAGAAACCGCGTTATCGTTATTTTGGTTTTTAAGCACGCACCCACACATATGCACACCTACACACCCACCACACATCAGCACTCAGATCTTTGCTCGGCGAACCCGTCCACTTCTCTCGAGCCGCTATTACACACATTACACGTCACATAGGTCGGTCATAGGCGTGCGCAGACTCCGGTTTCAGGGGCAGCAAGAGATTAATTCGGCCCATTCTTCAAATTCACCATTAAACCCAGCCCACAGTTTTACTATTTTTGCTATTGGGTATCAAAATTAAAGTTGTATTGATTATTTGTTTGTTTGGATAAACCGTTGTACAGTTTTTATAATAGACAGGTTTTATATTGATAAATTCTATAATCATAAAATATTCATGTCTATACTTAACCAAAAAAAAAAAAAATCATTTGTGGAAATATAATTTTACCGAGGCCCATTATTTAATATTTTCCGGCCCCGGTAGCCCCAAATAAAGTCCAGGGGCAGCATACGCTGCCTCTGCTGCCCCCGTGCGCACGCCTAGAGGTCGGTCGGTGTGTGTGTTGAGCACAGCGAAATATTTCGGTACCGGGCTCACGGTATTGTTCGTTCTCGGCTCAAACTCAAAGCGAACACCTAACCTGGAGTTTGGTTCGATCGGTGGAACTTCGAACAGTTCGGCTCAACTCTAGTAATAGTTGCGTATAAATTATTTAGAATAAATTGCCAACACTTACCGATGTTACAAACGTAACGAGACACGAATTTGTTAAAGTCAACCATCTTAACAATTTCCCTACTGCTGCCATAAACTGTTGGATCTTGGAGTTTTAGTATCGAAGGCTTCTGTTCTTTGTGGATTATAAACTGAACAATAAAAATAAATAAACAACGGTGATCAATACATTTTATAGAAAATCACACCCTTTATGGCCAGAACGACGACGATCGAATTATTCGGAGCATCCGAGTTGGGTTCCTAACACAGGTAGTTTCATAGTTGGTCCCTGGGTCGTAGCCCAGTTGCGGCCCATAGTAACCTTTTACCTTTTCACCTATCAGATTATTGGGGCCCGTACATAATATATGGGAAATACGATATTCTGTGGCTATCAAAACTAAATAAATATCCCGATTGCATCCAATATAAGTATAATTATTGTATTTACTGTTCATGGGATTGCATGAGGGACATATAGTTGTATATTATGATGTTCACTATTGATTATTAAATTAGTGTTGTCTGGTTGTTCGTTCTATGAAGCGTAAGGGAAATGTACTAAATTATAAGCTAAAAAGACAAAAAAAAAAAATAATAATATTTAATTATAAATTATTAACAAAGCTGGGTATTAACGAGTAAAAAGTTGAATTTAAGTTACTTTTAACCAAGTTACTTAACTAGTTACTTTTATTTTCATATTTAATTTCTAACTTAACGAATCTGTTTTTCTAAAGGAAAAAACTAACTCACTGAATTTATTTATTTATTATTCCTATAATTTATTTTTATCATATAAATTACATTTAAATAAAATAACATTTTAGTTAATGCAAATAAATATATTTATATATATAAAAAATAATTACCCAAAAAATCAAATACTATTTATGTAGTTACTTATTTTATTCTGTATTCTTAATAAGTTCAAAATTGTAAACTGTGACAAGTGTTTAGCATTATTTCTGTATTTGAGATTTCAGTATTTATTCAAATAACGTAATAACTAATAACTACAACTATTTACTTATAACATGTATGAAACGATTAACGAGTAAATAACTCGTAAATAACAAAAATTCATTAAAGTAATGTATAGTTTTGTTGAATTTTCTAATTAATTGATGTAAGTACTACTTTAATTAATAAAATTACTAACATTTAAAAAAAATAGTAAGACCTAGAATATTACGTTATTTGTTGAGCTTTAATGAAAAGGTATGATAATTAATTTTAAATGAAAAGAAGAAACTTATTTTTAACTAAGTCTAGTTACTTTTTTTTCAAATTAACTTTTAACTTTTAACTTTAAACTGAACTTACATTTGTCTATATTAACTTCACAAGTTCAAATAATTAGTTAACTAGCCCAGCTTTCACTATCAAAAAATACAATAAAAATATGGTATTGTACAAATAAAAGTTGTAAAAGTTAGTTTTACTATTTTACTATTTATTTATATGTATATACTATTTATGATGCATCTTAATAAAAATATACGTTTTTGGAACTTTAATTTATTAATTATACGCTATTTTGTGAACTAATGTGTGTTGGGACGTAATCGGGATATTTATATTTGGGATAAAACTAAAACTACCTGAATTCGGGTGCAAACGAAATATTAGGGGGAAAAATATAAAGAATATAATAGTTACATATTACTCGATATTTTTAACCTTCGAGAAAAATTGAGGAACCATAGATATGCTTTTGGATATTATTATAGAATATGTATAATTGTACAAACAAATTTGATTACACGGCTGTACTAGGTAGTGTTATGGTTCGAAATAATACCTTCAAAAAAAATATCTACAGAAATATCATACCTATCTTATTTTGATTTTAATGAGCATCCGTACATGTTTTAATTAAAACTAATGTATTTCAGAATTAAAATAAAACAGGATTAAATTAATTTTTAATTTTTCAACAAAAAATTAAGTATGTAGGTAACAGGTACGCGTATCTAAATTCAAATGATGCTATTAAACGTGGCATCAAAATTATCGAATTAGTAGTTAATAGTTACAAAATTAATGGTCTTACCTACCTAGTACCTGGACAGCTTAATGTCTAAAAACTGAAGATCAAATAATATTCAAAAGTATAATATGTGAAATGTCTTAAGAGAATATTTTCTAATGGGGACAATATTTTCAGATAAGAGTTATTACTAAAGCATCAAGCATTTTATAGCTACTTGAAGAAATTTTAACCGGATATAGGTAATTTGAGTAAGTACTTTGACCACTTACCTCGTGGGTCAGAACGTGAGAAGCCGTGTACGCGCGGTACAAGCAGTACCGGCAGAAGTAATTGCAAAAACTATAGTTGTTGAATATGTGATATGCTAATGCGTCTACATTATTGACATCGAACGACTTAAAGCAATACACGCACATCATAAAATCACATGTTTCTTTCTGGCTTTCTGAAACAATAAAATATGAGGACTTTATTAATACGTCGAATTAGTGTAATACTCGTCCCGACCAAGCAACCCAATAGAGTAAGCGTCAGAATGAAAGAGCTGCACCAAAAACGAAATGTCGAGGCTTGTTAAGAAAAATGTTAAAAGTTATTGGAGCCAGTCTGAAATTAATTGAATGGTTATAAAAATGTTTAGCTTGAGTTTATTATTGCCATTCAATAATCATTAAAAACTGTATTATCTTTAAAAATAATTTGAATTGTGACATAAATTCAGAACAAGGTTGCCAATTGGGTACCGCTCTGCTATAATTTAGGTGTCGTGTATTGAAATAAAAATTTTGATTTGAATTCAGTGATATAAATTCATTGTATTCGAAAAACGATTTTGAGCAAGGACGGTCTGTCCGTCTCTAATACTACTAAGTAATTTAGTACATATGATTATATTATTGTGATTGAAGTACTTTATTTTTCTAATAAGCATTAGTACTACGTAGTAGATTAATTTCAGTTTTTCCAAAAAAAATACATTTGAAAAGTCATTGTGTGTATAAAATATAATAATATACTTTAAAAGTTTCAAGTACCCACGAATAATATTATTAAATTACAGCAAAGTAACTAAAATCATAAGGTATTCATTGTTTAAATATCTATTATTAAATTAAGATGTCCATAAAAAATATCTTAATTATAATTGTTTTCAATTTTCAATTTTACCCATACCTAAGAAACACTTGTACATTTTAGCTATAAAATGTTTTGTAATATTTTGAGACTTTTATGTACTTTGTCAACATTTGAAGTTTAAATGCTTAAAAAAAATTGGATCTTGAATACTTCTCAACTGCTATTACAACAACTTATAAAGAAGCTTGTATTATATTTCCAATATTTCGACTTAATGAAAAAAATTATTGACATTTGTAGAAAAAAAAGTGGACAGGTGGGTACCACTCTGCTGTACAGTAGTTGTCGAGCGTGTAATTGTAATGGATGTGCTATGTAAGAATTCAATAATAAATATGTAATTGCATTTAAATAATGATTCTGAGAGGTGAAGTTGTGTAATTATAGAGTACTCGTTCTACTCTATTGTTATGTATGAAAATAAAAATTTCTAACTGAAAAATAATTTACAAACATTAAAAATGTTCTCATGGCTATAAATATTTCAAAAAGAGTCAAAATATTTTGAAAATATAACAATTTATGAATTAATTTTCATATAATATTTGGTGAATTAGTTTTTAAACAAAAAATATAAAATCGGTTTTTCTAAAATTTGTTTTGCAAAAAAACTACTAATTTTTACCTTTAAAGAGTACCAACTAAATTTACTTTTCTAACAGAAAATATGCTGAAGTTGAGGATCAAAATGATAAAATAAACATTTCTTAAAAATTTCAATTACCGACGGAAATGAATTACAACAAAAGCAAAAAATTGTTGCTTAAAAATTTATCAATTTACAGTTGAATAATAAATATCCAATGTCTAACTTCAAACTCTAATGAGAAAAGTATTTGTCCTTCTGGTTAATTTATTGTATGTCGAATGCAGGAAAATGAATGGGGAATCTGGTATTCAATTTCTAAATCTCAGATATACACAAAAAAATGATAATGAATTACTACCTCAAAACAATTTTCATATAACAGTAATTTCGACAAAATGTTGTCAAAGTTCTAACTTTAGACTCAAATAAAATAATATTATGGAATAAAGCTGATTTTTTTTTAATATCCACTAATAAGTAAGAACAACTTTACGAGGAAATTAGTATTTTTGACAAAAATTAAAAAAAAAACTAAATCCAAATTTTGTTGTGCCTATAAATAGCTTTAAACAAGCACAAGCTTATGAAACATTCAATGAAAATCGCATGTATCCAAGGATTTCACTTTATAGAGTTGCACGAAAAAAAACAAAATTAATATTTTTGAAAATGCCATTGACTTTTTGTTTTTTTTTTTTTATTACAATTTAGGAAACTATTGGGAATTGTTTACTTTTGACCTGCCCAAGTACCAACTATATTCACTTTTCTACCAAAAAAAGATATTAAAGTAGAAAATCGAAGCGTTTTTACTGCCTCAAAAGGTGATGAACTCAACTCGAATTAACTATTTGATTTAACTTTCCGAACATTGCTCAGAATTGGAAAAGTTATTAAATTGCTTAAAGGGTCCATGACTGTGATCGGCTGTAGTTGTTATCATGCAATATATGACGTTTAAGCTTGGTATTATACATGCATTTATATATGCAATATTGATTTTATACGAATTGTCAAATCCCCGAGGAACATACTTAGATTGTAGTTAGTAATTTTTTAATTATTGTGTATACGTTTATCACATAAAGAGTATTTTTCTACTATCAAACCAAACAATTTCATAAACAGTTTAGATTCATAGCGGAACAATAAATGTACTGATTTACAAACATTACAATGATGTTTTTTTTTCTAATAGAATAAATGAGCTGATCATCGATTTCGACGGAGGTTTCTGTTAGCAAATTTAACCTAGTTAATACTTGGAAATTGAAAATTCATAATACTTTTCAGTATAATCAGAACTAAAAAAAATGAGAACATATTTTGTGAATTTATTCATGTTATTACTAAATTAATTGTTTGGTAACCTAGGTTACCAACAATTTGGACATTCTTCAATATGTTTTTTTCTCTATAATTATTGATAAAAATGTTTCACTATACCAACACAAGCTTAAAAATGTAATTCAATATTCCTTATAAGTAATTAATACCGGAATTTGAAAACAAAAAAATTCACAGTAAATCCGCAAATGTTTTACACGAATTGATTTAATTGTTTTTTTTTTAGCTAAGAAACAAAATGACCAACTTGCTCAGCTCAGACGTAACGAATAATAATATCATTAAAACAGTGTCTCGTGGAAGAGTATAAATAACAGAAATCACGTAAGAGTGTCTTACTTGCATTGTGACAGTGGACGTTCAAGTGGTACTCGAATGTTGTCATGTTTCTGTACACCGCATTGCATTTTTCCCCAGAGCATTTATAAAGGCTCAGCTGATCCTCTTCGGTCTTAATTTTGTTGCCGAGCCACTTAGTCTTTTCGTGGTCAGCAATTATACCTCTCACCTTCTGGTAATATTCTTTACTGTAACTGGTATCCACCAACTGATAGCACGCACCGTTGTTGCGATCACCATTGTTGATGATCTGTTGCCCCGGTTCGAGGTGTTCGTCATTTTTCGTCTCCACGACACAGCATTGTATTTTGACATTCTCAAAGTTACTTAACAAATCGTGTTCTATGCTTTGGTTACTCGTACTAAGGTTATTGGTTTCAACAACCCCTACGTTCGACTGAATTCGTATAAAAAAATATGTTGAATTCCAGTCTTTGAAATATTAGTTTAGGTGTTGAACGAATGTAATAATTATTTACCTCTGACGAATTCGAAGAATGGACAACCGATGGACTTCTATTTGAGCGATTTCTAATGTTATAGGCTTGAAATATCTTAGATGACTCTGTCAAGTAATTTTACAATCAACACTTAGGTGATACCCTTATGTAATTTAATATTCTAAATATAGTCAACCTTTAAAGCTGGTATTTTACATTTAAAAATATGCCTATACTAATATTCATTTAAAAATCAATATAATAATCAAATATATATTGAATATAAATTTGGTATAGCACACGTGCAATTCACAAATTATAATAGATAAAACACTAAAATCAAATATAAAGTTAAATTATTGTATATATATATATATATATATATGTGTGTATAGGTATTTTCAAATATTAATATGAGATACAAGAAAACCTACAATAATAATAGTAATATTGCTCACAATAAATGTAAAATTAAACTTACCGAAACCATTATCGAACTTTATTTTTACATTATTGTCTGTTATGGATTTCAACAAGGGTAGTTCTGTTACTTTAAGAACTAAATGGTTATGGTTGTTTTTAAATCTCACAATTGCAGGTAAACCGTTCTAAAAACATAATACACAAAAGTTACTTAATTAAAGTAAATATGATTGATATTTTCAAAAGAGTTAATAATAAAATAGAACAAAATATGTTTACTTTTAAATAGAGATCGCTTTTTTTTCCTCTTATATTTGAGCATTTGATTTTAATGTCAATTTCTGATCGGCACTCACATTTGTTTAACTTTATATTTTTATCTTGTTTTTTTAAAAGTTTAAACAAACCGTTATGAAGACATCCGAAGATTTTACTGTAGTAATTGTGTTTAAAAAATATATGTATATTATAATCATTAATAATATCTGTTGGCTATTTTATTTTATTTCATTAAGCAATTGACATGCAGACTCATTTTCACACAGCCACATAATATAATAACCATAATGTGATACTTACCAAACGTCATATTTTCTGGATTTAAAGGATTTCAAAACGCGCCAACTGGTTTGGGTTCGCTGTGAATATAACTGTATGAAGTTGAAAATATCATCTTCATTGTGTAGATTAACACGAAATAAACTTGTTTTAATTTTGATTATATTATAAAAATAATCCATCTCAAAATGTTCACCTTAAGAAGATAAGACGAATTTCATATGTAATTATCGAGTCACAATTCTCAGGAATCACAATTATCTGTGACGTGTATTAGATTTTTAAAAATATTATGGTATATAACTGCAGCATCCAGTCAAAAATATGTAACATTATTAAAATGCTTAAGTAATTATAATAATATTACCTGATTGCAAGAAACTCCGTCTCGTTTTAAATGAATAAAATATATTATACCCCATAATGAATTTGATTTTAATATTTTACCTACTCTCATATTTATTGTTGTTTTTGTGTACTAATACCTAATAATAATTGAACTCTGAAATAATGTAGTTTGTCAATGAAACATCATGTTTTGAAGAAATGTTAACTGCACTGGACTCCGTTGACTATAAGTAGGTATATTGAATTGGGTGCTCGGGAATGAATCCACCATCAACATTTTTAAAAACGGTAACCGAAATTATATCTATATATATAATTATATACTAAATGTTTACATTTAAAACAGGTAGACAGGCTGGTGATTGAGCATTTGGGACATTATTTTAAACTATTTTTTTATTATTGAATCAGATAAACAGAAGTGTAGGTCAAAATAAATAATAATTTTAAAAGCCAGGAAACGAACTTAAATAAAATTAAAAAATACGAAGTATGGAAAAAATTCATTTACAAGTGATGTAGCCAAATATTTTTTTCGGGGTAGCACTTAATTTAAACTAGAATAGTCATCACGTGCTGTCCATAAAAATCTTTGGTGAGGAACTGCGCAAAAATGCACTGCCTCACACATCCATTTTATCTCGATTATAGCAAATCGAATATTTTTTCGTTTATATCATAATATATTATAAGAAAGCAATTGGCTACAGATATTAAAAAAGTTATTAAAATTGAATATCATTTTATACTTGTATTTTATATTTGATCAATACAACACAAATAACTATGTTAAAAATAAGGGCAGCTCACATTTAACAGAGTGAAAAAGGGACAAATCTACGGATAAATTTAAATTGTTTTGGCAACGCCGTGAGGTGCCGGTAGTTCAATATAATATTGAGTTCCTATATAAATCCTATTTGTTGTAGGTACTATTTAAAGTCATAATTTAAGAGTTCGTGACTTTATGTATCTATATGACTATATGTATTATAAATAATGTAATATTGTTAAACATAACAGTATTAATTAAGACGATTTAAACTTTTTAATTTGAAGATTGGTAATACATTTCAATATCAAAAGAATAAAAAAGAATTATTCTATAATATTATGCTACCAGGGATGGAACTCTTCGCGAAAATCGTTGTTTTAAGAAAATTATTTTTTGTTGATCAGCTATTGATAGAACTAGACACTAATAAATAATAATATAATATATATAAAAAGGAAACAATAAAATCGTTGGTGCTTTCACTTAAGATTGATAACAATATTAATTTGTCTATTTTGTTTCAATTCATGTTTCAATATTCAACTCACCGACAATGTGTCCATCAGCGGGTGGTTGTTCAGCGGGCGGTTCGTCAGCGGACAATACGTCGTCACCGGCCAAACGCTGAACATTCGGCAATTCTGCTTCATCATCGATAAATTCACCCAATTTAGTGTCTTGATTTTCTACAGAACGCACTTTTTGTTCGTTGTTTAGACCTTCGAAATATTATTAAAAAAATGAATGCACAATTGGTTAATTTGTATTAACAACGTGAACATAACATCTCTGATACCTTTCTTTAATTTACGTTTTTCAAAATGTTCGTCCGAAACGTGGTCAACAAATGTAGTACGTGCGGATTCTTCTATGTCTGTATCGTCTTTATGATCTAATAGAGCAAAGCTATATTTTAGTGAATACATTTAAACAGCTAGTTAATTATAAAGTAACCATATTTAAAAAATTAAAAACCAGGTTAAGATAATTTTCAAATTATTCCACGATAATATTTATTATACCTAGTTACTTATGTTAATTTCGAATTGTTATAAAAACCCAAACATGACGCAGATTACTTAAATAGTTATATATTATATGCGTTATATTATACTCCAAAGTAGACTCCCTGCAAGTCGTATGAAGTTATTATTAAATAATAATTTTGATTTTTCTCCCATTTATTTATTGATGTTGCAATGTCAGCAATAACCGAATAGAAAATTTTTCCAATTATTCTAGGTATTATCTAAAACTATAAGAAACTACAGTAAAAGCCATGAAAACAAGCGCATTTTTACATCAAGAACACTGCAAGAGTTTGTAAATGCATTTTTTTTTAGTTGGCTCAGAGACATTTATAGTGAGGGAGGGTGACTATAATAGTCTACATATGAAGACACTCAGCAAATCTAAAGCCTAAGGACCAAACTTATAGGGAAGTTCTGGGGTGGATTCTAGAAAAATAAATAAATCGTTTGTGCATTCCTGGTGTTATTAAGAATGGATCGATAAGTGTAGGTTGTACAAACAATCCCATAATTTAATTAGATGTCGAAATGCATTATACAAACATATCTCACACTGACGAGATATGACACTGTAATGTCATACTTAAAAGTTGGATGTAGGTTAAGTATATAAAAAATAATAGTTCAAGTAACTCACCATCTGCATTCCCGTCGCCAATGAAGGAATCTCTTGATGATTGGGTGGCATCCTCTAACGGTTCATTTAATCCTGGTTCATCAGAGTCAGTAGCTTGCATATCAATAGTTAAAACGGGTTCGTCATCTGAATCTTCAGATTGTTCTTAAAAAATTTAACCATATTTAGTTAGCTCATTTTGTATCGACGATATTGATATTTCAACATTAGATACACACCCATTTGACTCAAATCGTAATTGAATTCATTCTCATCACATGATTTAGAATTTTCGTTTAAAATTTGTTCAGATAATTTAATATATGGTACTTCTTTTTCTACATCCATTATAGAGTTGTATCGATGAACTAACAAAAAAAAATTGTCATATTTAAGTGAATACGTATTTAATTATTTACCTACAACACAAGAGTTTTTAAGCGTTCAGTATTATTGTTCTATTAAAATATATAGTTAAGATTCAAATTAATTTATACAATTGTATAAAACAATCCTAGGTCTGAGTGGTTATTATTTGACACAACCGATTATCATTTATAAGTTCTAATCGGTTTTAACGGTTAATCGGATATCCGATAAATCAATCGATTAATTCAATAATCGATTAGTTCAATAACATATTTCTAAATAAATCATTAATTAGTAATTTCATAATGCATTGAGGTTATACATATATCTTAACTGCTTCAGTTTTATCTTATACGTTTTATCCTCCTGATTAAAGTGTGATAAGTGATAACTTATGAAATTCATAATAATATATGCATATTAATTGATTAATCACCTAATCTAATCGATTTAATCTAAATAACAATTAGTTGGTATGTTAAACTATTGCGAAATCACTGATAAAACCGATTAATTGTAATTTTACAATACAATTACTATTTTATTGTCATCATAATAATCCTGTCTAGATATCAAACAAATTCAATTTAGAGACTTATATGTTTAAATATTAAATAGATTATATCTAGAACTTATAAGTTAACAAATATAAAAAAATAGATAAGACCCTCAAATATGTTTCAACGTTTTAAAAAATATCATGAAATACTATTTTCTTTAGATTTACTTTGAGACTTGCCTAATATTCTTTGTATACAAAATGGCTGGTTATTGTTTTATTTTTAAAAAGGGTAGGTATCTATGATATACCACTATAAACCCAAAAATATTCATACAATTATAACACGTGTAATCTATAGTGTCCTTTTGAATCCAATGTAGTACAATTATAATAGCTTACCTACTGAATATCAATTTTAATAAGTCTGTTCTATAAATAATTTTGTTTCCTAGCGGATCAATGTATGTATTGATTTTACAATGATGTTACATGACATAATATCAAAAGTTTTGGGATATATTGCCGAAAATCAAATTATTTCATAAAAATGGTTCTTGATATTTCAAAAACATAAACGACTCATTAAAACATATGCTTGGCAAACAAATTACAAAAATCTGCTTACCAAATTAGCATGAAGAAAATCCACAATAGCACTTCAAAAAAAGTTACCTAAGCTCGAAATTTAAATTAATATAAAACCGTTTTCTTGCTTCCCTGAATACCTAGAAAAATATTGTAGAAAAACACTAAACGAAACTTTCGCCAAGTGAAAAAATTTTAATCACAAATTAAAACAATTAAATTAAATAGAAAAGTTTTCAATCATTATTTCAATCGTAGAAATACAGAAACTTCTCTAGGTACTCATACATAATAGGAAACAATACTCGACTGACGATGCACTGTGAACACGTCAACGATGATTCGCCCCCCACATACGGAAGTGTGGGACTTTGGTATCTTTTGGAAAACGACTGGCAACGTTTATATACGGATTATATTCTGAGTGGAGCGAAGTATTGATTTTACAATGACGTGTGTTTGTTATTTTTTCATTTATATTTTTTTTATTCGTGTCAGTATAATGTCTACATACACGATAAGAAGTCGAAATAAAATGTTTCAATTTTCAACTTCAGTATATTGTCTGGTGGGAAAATGAATCTAGTTGGAGCATTCGGGAGTTAAAAATTTAAAATCCTCAGTAAATTTCAAAAGCACTGCGAAAAACAAACAAAAAATTAAGGGAAAAAAGGGTTTTTTATGCAAAGCCAGTTTTTGACAAAATCGATTTCAATTTTTGGTGTAACTCTAAAACAAATGACCGTACTACATTCACTAAATGTATCTATATTAGCATTTTTTATGCACCATACAATTTTCAAAGTATTTTGACTTGTTTTGGGCTGCGAGAGAAAATTTTAAATTTAAAATTTTTTTTTATTTTTTATAATTTCAATAAAATAGTATTTTTTGGGTCAAAAAGAGTTAAAATGTAATACAAGGATCCCGATATATTGTTACAGTACATTTGAAAAACATGAAAAATATATAGGCACGGTTTTGTTTCATAAGCATTTAAAATTCAAATGTTGATAAGATGTATCAAATTCAAAATATACAAATTATTTTGTAGTTAAAAATTGTTTCAATTTTCAATTTGTATAACTGAGAAAAGGAAATTGAAAACAAGGTCGTATGATTGTAGTAAATTCTGTAGCCAAAAAATAAAAAATATATTAATACAGTTTTTGTTTTAGTGTTATTTTAAGTTCAAATTTGGTCTTAATTACACTTTAATCCAAGAATGACGATTTTAGTTATTTTGTTGTAATTTTAAAATATTATACGTGGTACTTGCAATTCTTAGAGTATATTATTATATTTCATACACACAATGACTTTTAAAATCTAATTTTTTTGGCAAGAATGAATTTAACCTATTGCAGTAGGTGCTAATACCTAATAGTGGAATAAATGACTTCAATCACAATAATATCAACAAATGTACAAAGTAATTTTATGTGCTGACAGATTGTCTTTGGTCAAAATAATTTTGTGTTTACTATAGTTTTGCATTCAAATTTAACACTATCCATTACAGCGGCTCACTTGTAGCAACAGAGCGACATCCACATACATGTTTTTTTATTAGGTAGTTAATTTTAAATTTATTTAAACATGCTTAATTATTTCATCTTAATTAATAATTTTACTTTCTCAATTATATCAGTTAATTTTAGGTACTTATGTAATACTGGAATAATGAATCCACGATAATTGTGTACCTAACGTAATGAGATCGATCATAACTGTGTAACTAAAAAGTATTTTAAATTAAAAAAAAAACAGAACAATCGATGTTGTATTGTAAGCTCATAGATAAAAGTTATAACTAATAATAGAAGTTGAATAATAAAATCAAAATACGATTTCTTTATTTTGTATTGACTAATTTTATTATTTGTTTATTTGTTTATTTATTATTTACCTAGTTGATGAATTTCTCAACTAATTAATTGTAAGTCAAAAGTGTTGTGATAATCAACGACGAATTGAAGGATGGATTTAAAAAAAAGTAATTGATTGCCAATTCGGTAATATGTATGCTACCTAAATTTTGTTTGTAACTGTGGGTTTTGAACAGAGTAAAATATCAAAATCAGTATTTATAAATTATTCATACAAAATGTATACATTTGTATCCTATTCTTAGTATGTATTTGGAACAATTTAGATGTAAATAGTAGGTTGTAGGTATGTACATTGTTTGTATCATTGTATCAATTATTTACCGTCAGAAATCCAGTGTGTACCTGATCAAACTCATGGTTTATAACTATCTATAAGCATCATTAAATAAAAACATGAATTTATGATTTATACAATTATAGATGCCTTGTCAGTTTATGTGGTGATCATCAAGTAAGTACTTACTGTAAATTGTGTTCATGTGAATTTGTAAATTTGAGATTTCTTAATAATAATGACATTTTTTTGAAATGGGAAACTCATTAGTGAAATTACTTTACTGACACGTCATCGTACAGCGGAGAAACTGGGTTGACAGTTATTTTATTACTTATGTATTGTTACTATATTATAACGAACGTTGAATACTTGCGTCTAAGAACAAATGGAGTCTTGAAATAAATTAAAAGTCGTGCATTTCTCGAGTCAAATTTTATCACAATCACTAAGGTACCTTAAATTTACAAAAGGTGTTTGTTGAATACATCCAGTTTCAAAAAAAAAAAAATTTTACTTTCACAATTATATACGATATTATAATAGTGGAATATTTTATTTATAGAACACTTTTTAATTAGTACGGTCTTGGTCATCATCAACTTCTGTTATATTAATAATTGAAAAATAGACATGTCTCGATCATCCTACTGTCATGGACGGTCGAGATATATAAGAGATATACGATATATATATATATATATATGTATAGCGTTTCAATGTTTGAAAAACTTATGCACATTTAACCAGACTTGAAATAGATTGACGAATCTTCTATTCCAGGATAAAATCAAATTTAAAATATAGATCATTCATAAACTGCCGACTATAATATATCCACTACAGGATAGTTATTATCGAGAAAAGAGAAATATATTAACTATATTTCATCCAGTAGCACATTCAAGTTTGTATATTTATTAAAATTAATTAATAGTTATTATCAAATTAATTGTCTAACAATAAAACAAAATATCATAACTACGACGTATTTTCGTTATTTTCAAATAGTATATGAACAACTAGAGGAACCTTGGATACAATTTTCAAACTTCTTTACCATTAGGTATTCATAAATATTGTAAAATCAATACATTCGTGAAGGATATAAAAGTGAGATAAATCGATCTCTAGTATAAAGTTAATGAAAATGCTGATCTATTTTCAGACATGTTATAGCTTCGATAGTGTGATCGTTATGTTGGACTTAAGGTCATTTACTATATTTTAGTATAATTTGATTGCAATTCTATTTAACTGAATATTATATTTGTTTTTATTTAACTCACCAACAGGTGGCAAGATATCAATCATGAAATCAGCTGTCTGTGATTGAGTGTCATCCTCAGAGGATCCACTTGTTTCGCTTGTATCAGTATTTTGATGTCCAGTATTTGACATACTCTTTTCGTCATCAACATTTTTGAAAGACTCTAAAAAACATTCTTTTATTATTAATGAATTTCAGTGTGATGATATCGATGTGATAATTATGATTACAGCCCGGATGTTGACGTCATTTACATAATATAGACATTTTGGAACACCAAATATGATGTTTTCCTAAAAGCGTCGCCCATTATCACACACAATTTTAGCCGTATATTTTTCCTATAGCTAAAAAGCCATAAACCGGAATTCGGACACCCATATACGTTTTTCAAACAGTCGGACACTTTTTTAAGAAAATATAATTTTTCAGTGGTAGAGATATATAACTAAAAATATGTTTCAATAACATGCGAATCCCTATAATCAATTATTTTTATTTTGCATTTTTTACGTTTTTTTCGTTTTATGTTATTTTTATCATTTTTTTCTAACAATTGAGGTCAAAATTACAAATTTATAATTATTCGTCTTTAAAACAGTAACTTTATTATTATAATAACTGAATAATCCGATTACAATAAATACACAGGTATCTGTATTGCCATTGAACTTATTTAGTAATATTTTATCTACATAGGTTTTATAAAAAACACCCAAAACAGAATGTAGAAATTGTTTTCTAGCATTAACGCAATTAAAAAATTCTAAATTCAAAGTAACGTATGTTTATTAATTTTAATTTTTAATTTTAAAATCATTAAATAATTTTATTAACTTAAACAGTTTTATTGGTGACAATTTATGAATCTATTTAGTCCATTAAAATTACATACAAATTGTTTATTTTTTTTATTTTTTGGCATTTTTTTATGTCCTAAATACATTTTTAATAGGGCATCAACATCTGGGCCCTAATAATGGTCAACACAACTATACCTATTTTGAATTGTTCCTCGTTTGATTCGCATCTCGAGTCACTTGTTGCATAATACTTTGTAGATTTCTTGTTAAACATGTTTTCAGGATCTCCAATAATACGTCGTCCTTCTACATGCATTCCAGATTCATCTTCTATATTACCAAATAAAATAAAACCATATTATTTTAATGAATTAATCAAGTGCTAAGAAATATACAGAATGTGTACCACATGTTGTTTATCCGTGGTAAAAATAACATGTTTTCCAACACATTTTTTTTAAATATGTTTCTTTATTCATAAATATGTAAAGTAATTTAAAAACATATAACGGTTAATTCGTAAAACTTATTTTAATTTTAACTTACAATTCAATATAAGTTACATTAAGTTAAAATTTGAAATATTTTTCCAACATACCTAGCAATATTGAGTTCGACACTTCTTATATGTATAAATAAAAATTAAATGCCATATTTACGAAATATCATCACATAAGAACGGCTCAACCGATTTGGCTGTTTTTTTTTTCCTGTTGTTGTGTTCGTAATTTTCAGGAAAAGGCTTGTATGAGAGACATTTTTAGGAAAATCTACCGGAAACGTTGGAAATCTGCCCTTCATTAAAATATAAGTTCAAAACACACAGTATTGACGCATTTGCTTAGTTCTTCTCAAAATGATAAAATGTAAGAACTTATTAAAACTAAAATTGTGGTTCCTCAATAATTCAAAAAAATTATGCATCTCAAGATATTTGATTTAACAAACGGAAATCGAAATTTGCTTGTGGTTACAAATTGTGTAATATATTCTAGATCAAAATAAAAATTTTTAAAAAATATTGGCTTCTCTCCATTTGCTTGTTTGAGCACATTAATCTCTAGAAGTACCAGTCGGATTTGAAAAACTGAAGGGTGGAAACCCTAAAAGTACTATTGCCAAAATACTGATTTTTCTGGAGAAGCGATTTTCTATAGCTGCCCACAAATACAAACCATTCATAAATAGACAAATCATTTTGGAGACAAGATATTTTTTTTAAATGATTTAATAATATAGTATTTCTATTTAAAAGGGTTCAAATGTGTTCAATATTCTAGAATTATTCTTTCAATTCAAATTTTAAAAATTCAATTTCATTACGATTTGGATTAACTTTTTTACTCAACAGCACTTTTTGGATTTCTATTCCTCGATTATTTTTTTATCTGAGGAAGGTTATAGGCTACTTAAAATCATGCTACGACCCTTAGGAGCCTATAAACATGATAAAAAATCAGATAACTCGTTGACGTGGTATAACTGCGTCATCACGTATTTATTTCAAATGAAATTTTAATTAAACGTTGGGACCATAGATAGAAAAAAGAATGGATAGGCCATGCAAAGTTATCATTAAGGTATTATACTTTAATATACTATTTTTATCTATATTCTACGTATATCCTATATTTATTATACCATAATATACTATATCGGTTCATATTCTATATTATGATATATACTACATTATATTTCTATTTCTGTGTATCCATACAAAAGCTAAATAGTTTGTATGTTTGAACGCGCTAATCTCAGGAAGTACTGGACTGATTTCACTAACATGTATATGGATTCATCATAGATCTTCTGAAAATAGGAGTGTATCTTAAATTTAATTTTTTCCAAACTACATATTATATTGGTGGTATAGGATGGATATCGAAGATCGAATCATCGTTTGTTTATATATACTTCGGCCAAATGTTGGTTATTTCAGGTGAGTCGAAAAATTGATAGACTAGTGAAGTTTTTTTTTAATAATAGAAAATAATATTGAATTCATTGTTAGTTATTCAAATGTATATTTTACAACAACATTCAATGCACCTATAACTATGTTTAAAGCTATTGAAATCAACACCTTTGAACCGATTGTGACGAAATTTTCGGGGATTGTACATAAAGATTTTGGAAAAGTTCAAAAAGTAGTTTTAACATGAACCTTAAAAATATACTAAGTTCTATATGCATAATCCAATTCACCATATGCCAATTTTGCCAATATCGGTCACTAAATTACAATGATACACCGATTAAGCGCAATATTTTATGTTTGTTCATTTTTTTCGAGTGAAATTGAGATCTACAGCTATAATAATTGTTAATGTATTTTTTTATGAAAGTAAAAGTAAGCTCAAATTATAATAAATAAAATGCATATGATCATCGAATACTATAAAGATATTTATAAAAAAAAAGAATTAATGGAACCGAATTATTGATTAAGAAAAACAAAGTATTATTAGGTATTTCTTTTTACTTACGTCCAGGGCTTGGTAATGATTGGACGGTATTTGATTTGAGTGAATGTTCATTAGTACCTTGGCGGAGTAGTTCAAAAGCATTGTGAATGCGTTTTTCTAAATCTGTTGACGATCTGCGATTTTTGTAACTAGAGCTCCTGTCAGTTAAGTTGGACTCAGTCGTTTCTCTTGAATCTTGTACTCTGATTGATAATTCATCATGAGTGTAGTGTGTTTTTCCAACTACGTTTGTTGCTGATTTAGTACTTTTAGTAGAAGTATTTGGATTCGACTGTACTCCGACACGGGGTTCACCGATAGCGGTTTCCATTGAATTGATAATTTCATTTTGGTCATTTTCAATTAATTGAGATGTATTTTTTACGCGTATCTTGTTAATATTAAAAGTTTCATATCCAAGTAGAGCTATTCCATCCAGCCCATTTTTTAATTCATTTTTATCAGTTTTACTGGTGTTCAATTTTTCTGAAGACTTATTATTTTTTTCCAATTTTCGTTCATTGCCCATAGACATTATTTTTGGGTCTTTTAATTTTGTAGGAGACATTCCAGTGTCAACATATTGATTGATAATTGAATCAGATGTGTCATCATGAGTTAAATCAATGGTTTCTATTGATTGTTCTGACAGCGGTTTATTCTTTTGATTTTTTTCAATAAGTCCATAAATATCCACCTTCTTGATAGTATTATCAAAATTGTAATTCTCAACGATTAAAGTGTTTTCATTTGCTTTTCCAACGTTATTTTTTGTTTGATCATTCAAATTATGTATTTTAATCACTCCATCATTTTTCTTTGAAAGTGTTTCTGTTGTGCATCTTAAATCACTTGTATCATCATTTAAACTATCAATTATATTTTCTACAGTTTCTGCTAACTTTTTTTGGTGGTCTTCTCTTAATTTTCTCAGTTCCGTTTTCTCTATACGATATTGTTGTAACACACTAGAAGTTCTTCTAGCTTCAATTTCCCTTGCAACACCCCCATTGTCGTCCATTAAATCTATTACATCAAGCACCTTTCCAGAATTTATTTTTTGGTGTCGTTCAGTATTCAAGAGTTTCAAGTATTTATTACAATCAATGTATGTTTCAGCTCCCCTGTCGGTTTGTGTATTTTTAACACTTGGTTCTCCTCTGCGTCTAATGTTGTGTTCATTAAAGTTATCGTCTTCACTCAAATCATTTACAACACCAAATCTGTAACTTGAGTTCATGTTTTTCAATTTCATATTGATTATTCTTAAGTCCTCGTTTAAATATGTTTTTTTATTTGTATATCTTATTCGTCTCAATCCTTCAAATTTATCTAACCTGTTTTCAATATATTTATTTTGATCGCGATTTACTAGTCTTGGATCACGTGTTGAAGTATTGAAGGCCTCGAACTTGTTTTGTATGGGCTTACAATATTTTATAACCGATTCACAACGGTTTGATGAACTAGGAGGAACACGACTAGAGTATCGATCATATTCCTGTAAACGGAGAGTGTTATTATTAATACGATACTGATTTTGATCCGGTGGTCTGAATGCAGAAGAATAAGATTGGCTTATATTCACAGTCCTGCATGCAGAAAATTGTCCATTTTCTCTTTGTTTCGCAGGCATCGAATGTTGTATACTTGTAGGGATATACGATTCAGTTATATTACCTATGTTTGGATCATAGTCGACATTATCATCAATGGGAAATGGGCTGGGTTCTGTATTGTTTCTATAATGCGGTTTGAAAACTGATTCAACCGTTTCTGAATTCAACTGTAGTGAAGGTGTTTCGTTTGATTCGTTGATCTCAATTACCGAGCCTGGTAATATTTCAGAGTTATGTTCGGACTGGTGTAATTGACCTAATGTATGTACCACTTCCATGTCAGAGCTTGTGGTTTCACCAATGTTTTCCGGTTCATTTGGTACTATAATAGAAATATCTTCTAAAAATTCACGATTCAAATATATTCCAGTGTAATTTCGTTCATTTGTTCTGTATGAAAACTCAGTTTGGTCATCATTTGTTGCAGACCAACTATTGTTTGACATTGTACTAGGCTGCTAGAAACCTTGTTACTTAATATAATATTTTGTTTAATCAGTGTTTTTTGTAATATTTTCAATACTTTGAACGAAATCTTGTTCTATGCCTTACTGTCAAATATGAATAGGGCATAAGAATATTGAAAGAGATGGATAATTATGCATCTATTTTAGAATTCGTACTTAATTCCTTGATCATCAGAAATAACTGTAAAAAAACACATTTGATTTTAAATGTACATAACCATTGTGCAATCTATGAGATAATAAAATAAATACCTTATGTTCGTTTAAGTTAAGTTGAATATTTTTATAATAATGTTTTATTATCAATACAACCATGAACCATCAATATAACCTAACCTGTTAGAAAAATGTTTTGATATAATTAGTCTTATTTAAAATCACTGAAAGCCTTATTCATATTTGCCCCACTGTTATGTGAATAAAAAATGTTGTACTGAATATTTAAGTACCTTAATAATAAATGATAAAAACAAAACAAAATCAATTGTACCCATAACATAACAGTATTCCCAAACTCTCATAGATACATATACTTATGAAATATTGAATATTCAACATCATCAACTGAAAGAAAGGCTAAACTAACTATCATCTATGTAGGTACCTATATTCTATAATGTATGTCTATAACTTGTTTTTATGATTCGATACTTGCCGTTATTTTAACGAAACCGTAACCTAACATGAATTTTTTTTTTAAACTGTATTGGGTATCGAATTATTTAAGGATTTGATAATTTTTCAATTATCGTAATGGTAATTTATTATTATCTATAAACAGGGAATCTCGATAACCAAACCGTCTATTTGTAGGATTTTCGATAGCTCAAAGTAATATCTTAGCCTCTGCATATCAAAATGTAAGGCCCCACAATTTATTCTATAACTTAAATTTTTCAACCAAATTACCGAATTTCTGCTTTATTAAGTTGAGCTTTTATCCAATATTTTTATGCTGTCTAAAGCTAAAAAAATCTTTTTAAAAATCATAAAACTTACTTGACATATGTTTTTTATAATAGTGATCCAATAATGATTGCCAATAATATGGAATTTGTCTGATTATATCCTATGAAAAAAAAATTAATTTATATTAGAAAACTCCGATGATATAATAATGCTTGTATAGTTTTTAATATGCCGTTTACGGTACATAAAAATACTATGGACTCTAGAGTGAGTAAGGTAAACACACAGATTATGATGATATGTTTCAACGATTGATTAACGTTAGTAAAATATAAATTGTGTTTTATTTATGAACACTGTACAAGGTATACTATATAAACGTTGTTAGTTAATACTTTAGGTGGTAATCCCAATATTTCAAGTAATTTAATAATCAAATGATTTTCTTTATCGTTATTTATTAAACGTTTATTAACCGAATTCATTCACGATTGACAAATTGCATTGTCAGTCGTTGATAATTGATACACTCACCTTATCTTAGTTTGATTTTCTATAGAGTGGTCAAATAATTGTCCAAAATATTAAAAAAAAAGATTTTTTTTGAATCAATACCTAACACTAATTTTTTTCTAAAGTGGTATTTGGTTTCATAGTATGAATATATTTCGTAGAGAATATTGTTTGTAAATTGCACCAAAATGAATATTAATATATTCGATTACTTCGTTGGTATTCTTGGTGACGTTAACACTCAGAACTTGAATGACAATAATTTTTAGAGGTTGCTTACTACCCACCATTGGTTTATCTAGTAATCATTACAAGGTTTGATTTCCAACTCGTTGTAATCACATTAAAACCATAGATAATCATAGACCTTATACTATTAAATGGAATGTGGTTGATGGTTGTAGTTCCGGCGTCCACCAGTGATTTATCAGCTCACCAGCTGATCAAAATGGTACATTGTACACAGCAAACCTCACATGCACACTATAATATGGGTCAATAAACTGTATAACTATAACTGTATACAAAACATACACATATATGTAACAAAAATTTCCCAGACCGCACCACCCAACCCCTTTTGCCAAGCATGCTATGTCTATTAATATAAGGTCTGTGTAGATACTATAGAATTTAAAGACCGTTTGTGATTATCATACGGGAACGGTCATGAAAATATGTTGAGGTTATAGAGGTCTTATCACAAATAGATTTATGTATAATTATATCTCTATGCAGGTGCATAATGAGAATATATCCATTATCCGTAGAGGGGGACTCGCCGCTCGGACAAAAATAAATTGTTTTTTGTCGTTTTACCTATAAACTGAAAAAAAAAAATGAAAATGATGAAATTCATGAAAATAAAATGTTGAAAGTTCGAAATGTAATGAAAATAAACTCTATAAAATGGATAATTTCAATTATCAAAAATAAGAAACTAATAAAAAAATTTACCAAAAAATTTAAAGAAATAAAAACATAAAATTTAATATGTGATCCTAATCTATATGAGTCTAATAAACAAAAAAAACAGATTTATGATTTATTGATTATCTCATTAGATATCCCTACGGACTAAGATATAATGGACTGGAAACGAGCAGCTTATCAGTGGCCTCGAAAGTATGTACAAGAAGTAAATGCGGGGGGTCACAACCATAATCGAGAGTTTACAACGCCATCTGTTGACTAAATATTTAGTTGCAATTTAAAAATATTACATTGAGGATATTATGACAGTTGTGACCAGAAATCAAATTATTGACGGAAGATGTAATGTCATTAATCGTTTTGTCAACAGAAGAAATATGGAAGGAACAACCCCCTTTTTCAATCTAACTAAATCTGACTTTCCGAAATACTTTAACATAAAACAATGTTATAATTATGTATCAACAAATTAAATAAAAGTAGGTATGTACATAATACCTACATCGGGAATATCAGGTGGTAACAAATAGGTATTTATTGTATCTCCAGGTCGAAAATGTTTGGCACATACAAATTTTACTACTGTTTCCTCACAGTTAGCATTACTCACAGCTAATTTCCAAGCTAAGTAATTGGGTTTTGGTGCACTAAAAAAAGAAATCTTGGGATTTCTTTTTTTACTGGTGCATCCTTTTACACTGCACTTACGAAAATCCATCATTCAAATTTATTTATTAATTAAAAGTTGTTTTAATAATGAATAAATAACCATTTCTAAGTGTTTACGGGGCTAAGTAAATAGCCGCGAAAACGCAATCATGGTTTAGATTGTGACGCCAAATAAAACCACTGGTAGCGCTGAAAACTCTCGATTATGAGTGCTGATGATAACAGAGACACCTTTTGTGGGCCGTCCTCCGTCACCCGCCCTCCTTGTCGTTTCCAGTCCATTATATCTTAGTCCGTGGATATCCCAGTATCTCAAAATCTTGACACTCTGTATATATTATGATGAGATATATGCCAAAATGAAAAGGTATGATAAAAACAGTCATTATCTCTTCCTCATTCTGGCAATCGACCCCTATATTGTTAATGCCATGGCTTATCCATTCTTTAACTAATATGGTTATTACACTGTACAACATATTGTATTCATTTTTTCAAATATAATGCATTAATTATTATAATATTTTATATGTAATAGATACTATAGTATATTATTATTGTTATTAGGAAGTAGCTTTAAAGGCAATACTGATAAACCGTAAAACAGTGTCAGTATTAATAGGTGAGTGAAATAAGAAACTAAATTAAATAGGTATTCTGTGTTATTAGTTTTACTATTAGCTTCCCATATCATCTCAATATCTTACTCTAGTACTATATTGTAGACACATGTGTTATATCAAAGAATAATCGATTTACATTTTGATGCAAAACTACAAATGGATTTCAAAAACTGTAGGAGCAAATTGCACGTCATGTTGTAAATATTTTGAGTCAATTATTTATTCAAATTGACTACTGAAACCAGTGGTTAAAAATTCAATAAAAACCAACGAGAATGGGGTACTCTACACAAACTCTCAATAATTATTGTGTACAAAGTCATTTTATCATTATGATCATTTCACCGAATCATAAACAACTACCTTCATACAAAATATTTATAACAAACTATACTTATTAAACACTATTTATCATAAAGCATATAGATATAATTTGTGATCATACAATAACATAATACAATTTTTATTATCAAGCCTTGGCAAGTTAATGATAATTTTTATTGAGTTAAGGTTAATAGAAAATATTTTTAAAAGGATTAAGTTGATTCTAATTTTTCTTCAGTTATATGGAAACACACAGTTAACTTACCAAAGCTGAGTTATTATTATGTTTTTCTTAAATATATAAATTGCCAGAAATATGATTTGAAATAATAAAAAGTAAATAGTTATGTAACATGCACCATCAATAATAATTGTATTATATTTATAATTTAATTATTAATAAGCTAGAGCAGAGGTATTTAAACTGTGCGTCGCGGCTCCCAGGGGCGTCGAGGGAGTTGTCGAAGGGAGCCGCGTAGTATAATTAAAAGCCAATAAATATTTTTACGAAAAACGTTTACTAATATCATTGAGGCACACCGGTTGGGAAACGTTGAACTGTGTACAACAGTCATTCGCTAAATATAGCTTTAATTTATTTTATTTATGTAATATGGTAAATAAATTATAAAATATAAATTACAATCATATAAACATTGATTTTTTTGTCATTTAAAATTTGGGAGCCGTCAACATTTTGTGAAGACTTAAAGGAGCCGTGGGATGAAAAAGTTTGAATACCTCTGAGCTAGAGTAATAACGATTTGACTAAAAGTCACTCGTTATTTATTAAGTTTATATCAATAAAAATCGGTTCAGTTAAAAATTGAGTTAATGAAAATTCAATTTAAAAAAGTTAAGTTAAAAAGTTAAAATAATATAATACACAGTTGTATGATATAGAGTTTTATTTAAAACGATCGAAAAATCACCATATACTCAATTCATATTTCTTTATCAAGAATATCTTACCTGATCTTCAGTGAGCTGTGGCAGCAACGTCAGTGCCCCGCATGTCGCAAACCAGTGACTGGAGGAGATTGATGTGCCAGATAAAGTTCGCACGATCGTTGGATGTGAATATGGAGTGCAGAACTGCCGAAAGGGCCTGCCAAGACTGGTCACCAATTATCAAGTATGACGAAGAATTGTTTTGAAATGAAGGAGAAGATCGAAATGTGGGGATCCCGAATTCTGTGAATCGGTCGCCGTTTACGATAAACTTGGTGGAGGCTGGTTGTTCGAAAGTGATAAACAATCAAAGGTCGGGGAGCGTGTAAGCCGATGCTCACGAACGATATTGAAAGGAATCGTCGTATTAGTCGGTTAACGAGTGGCGGTGAAAATGAGACGGAAAAAAAGCCAACGGTTACAGCGCACTAGTTGATCGCCGACGGAAGTACCCCTCGTACTATTGATTGTGGTTTTCAGAGTGAAGGGAACCGCGGATTTCCACGCGGCGGGCCACGCGCTCTCTACTGGCGGTGGTGACTAGAAAACGATGTAGGGATGTAGGTGAATAAGTAAAGCGGGGGTGAAACAGCAACGCGGAAAACGCCGCAGCCTACAGGCAACTGGTGTTCGTCGTTACGGTGATCGGCCAACGGATTGCACGGAGAGGGTTGTAAACAAAAGAACGGCGTAGCTAAGCGATGACTAACGCCACAGCGGAGTACGGGTAGAAAGCGAAAGCGGTGGTTGAAAGCGAAAAGGGATGATGACACGAAGGGGCACTATGTCGAGGAGCGCGATCACGACTACCTACAACTACAGCCGAAGGATTGCGTGACGACTCTGGCGTCGGGATCAAAAGTGATTTACCGGCAGCCGCGCGACGGGCGTCTGTAACTGACGGGTGGCCCGGATGGGGTGGTAGCGTTGGAGTTGGAGGTGTTGGCGGGACGGAGTCACTCTGTCCGGGGGTTGTGATTCGGCGCAGAGGCGTGGAGACAGAGGTAGGCGGCGACGACGCCGGACTCAATGATCTGGAAATGGATTGCGATGACCGTCCTCCACGTCGCCTCAACCAATAAGACCCACGAACTTGTGGCAGTATCTTACAATAATACGAAGGTATATACCAAAGGTGACCCGGGCGGTTGTCACGGTAACGGCAAATCAATAAAGCTAGAGTGTGACAAGGATGCGTATGTATATCTATACACTAAGAAACGTTACATTGTATTTTTAAGTCGTTGTGATTATCGACGTCTTCGTCTTTGTCATTGTCGACCTCGGTATGGGCACATTTAAATCCCACGGTTTACAGGTAATCGATCTCTGTTCGAACATTACAACAATGCGTAATTCCACAGGTACATATTATTATCCCTTGTGAAAAAAAAAAAATACACTCTTTCCACCACGTGTCACTATTAATCAATTTTTTAATCCTTTTATCGGTATTATATAAAAAAAAAAAACCATACAATAATTAATATTATTCATGATATAAAACCTCCTACTATATGCAATATTCGAATTCAATAATAAAACATGGCATACGAAAAACGATTCTGATTGGAGACTGTATGTCATCCTAGCATACGTCTTGTGTGAATAATCAAATTTAATAATAAAAAAAATTGATAAAAATCTAAAATGAAGCATAACTCTAAAAAGTAAAAAGCGTAAATTTCTGGTAGACTTTTTTTTTCGTTTACGGTAGAAATACTTGTGTCGAATTTTCTATTAAATAGTCTAATGTTATAGTTGTATAAAGAACAATTTTTACGAATTTCTGACCTGCACTGAAGAAAATACTAAAATACAAGTAATTTTTTTCTAAATCATCGTACCATGTTTACATGTGAACTTGGAAATAAAAATTACTATAAATTCAAAATGACCATTTTTTTTTAGTCGATTCACTTTATTGTCAGTTTGGCACTTGCCCATTTTTTCTTACAATTGTATTTTTTTACATAAATTAAACATTTCATGAATGTTTCATGCAATTTACAACAGTAACTGTATCAAACGTATTCTTGAGTCAGTATTAATATACTTATTTACTACATATTATTAAGGCAAGTAAAAAACAGGTATTGATAAGTCCAAATTACGATAGTCTTTTAATTGACCTAATCCGACGCTGTCCACTGATATTAATTGAAACTATTTGGGTTTTTATCATACTTTAGTGTCCTATTTATGGTATAATAAAATACATTATTATACTAAAAATTGGAATAAGACATCCACATAATTTTCACGGATTGGATTTTGTAGAAATAATTTTAAGTTAGGTATAACAATAATAATCGAAGAATATGTAATGCCGGAATAGTTTCTCACACAAATACATTAAGCCAATCATAATTGTTGCATTATTAACACATATATTTTTTCAAACTATAGTTATCATTATTCGTTAAATGTAGGTACCCTACTATAATATAATTATTTAAATATGATACTTTATTCGGCAAACTTAGTTCAAAAAATAAAAATAAAAATTTCTGCCATCTAAAAGGCAAAATGGGTTGGTCTGTTATTTGGCTTTGAAATATAATATAGTACAAATTGTAGTTCTGCAGTGTTTAATATAATATTATGAAACTGATTTTTTGGAGTGGCAAGAATAGCTTTAAGTGCTCTGGCGTCATAATATCCGGTTAGGGTGGATACAATAATAAAAGCGCCAAAACAATAATACCGAATGTTTGCGAGGGCACAATAATAATGACATGATCAACATTATTATATTACTTTTAAACTACAAGCTCGGCGATTGACTATTCTGTGTTATCGTTTTGGATATGATGATAACTATGTTCGTCATATACTTCATAATTCGATTTTTGAAGGACGTACCATGTTTCCCAACAAAAGTGTACCTTTCTTTTTTTCCACTTATCCCCTTTTCAATCAATACTCGTTTCCTGCAAATATAATAATACAATATTTATCACATTTCCACCAAAACCGTTTCTATGCTATTAAAATCTGTTATATATATTATATTTTTGGTGCGTCACATTCTATATAAAAAAAATATGTACAAGTGAGTGCACTTGTACACACTGCTGACCGCTCTGCAGAACCGGAGTTGTCAAATATGTCATTGTAATTGGTTAGTTAAATTTGTATAAAAATCGTTGTATACGAATCATTCTAAATGATACAGTGTGCAGACAGTGTGTCAGAATTGGAAACTTTATAATAAAATGGTTGTTTTAGTAATATAAGTATGTAACTCAAAGAGCTCAAACTCATCTTGGTCAAAAACACTAAATTTACATACTATTTTTAAATTTAAATTGAAAGCTCATAAAAAAACTAATGTTAGGTACTTTCTAATAATTTTTTTTTAAGGTAGAAAAAACATATGAGTAATCTTGTATTAGTTTATCAAATGTTAGCAATAAAAAAAAACATTTTTATAAATTTTGAACAGAAAAATAACGTTCAAAAATTCTAATTTTTCCTTAATTTAAACTAAACAGAATAGGTATCCTAGGGAACCTATCTTACTTTAGATGAACATAAATTCAAAAAATTTTGTTTCAAAATTATACGTGAAACTATATTGTACTTAAATGTTAGAATTTAGTTTTATCATTGATCACTATCCGTGTCGATTACAGGTGTACTAGTGACAATTTTCAAAATCAGTCGTACTGTGAAAAAGTTTAAGAACCGATGCTCTCAGCAGCTTAAAGAATTTAGTATTTACATATAGAATAAAATTATTAATCAGTAATACAGCAAAATGTTAAGTATATAAATGGTACTCTAGATTATTCCTTAGACGCATGTCTACCAGTTTTTATTTCAGAATACAAGGAGTTTTGTGCAAATTCAAGAGGAAATTAGCTGCAGTTGAGACGTTCCCCTGGAACCCAAACCTTAATTCCTTAACCTCCCAATTAAATCTAGCATCGTAGCATAGGCGGAGATTGGGGGGGGGCTTACGGGGACTTAGCCCCCCCCCAAAAAAAAAAAATAATTTGAAGTTAAAGGCCCCCAAAAAATTTAAGAAACAAAAACATACTTTTATACAGATTACAGAATGTTTTAGGGATAATTTATTATTATTATTATTATTAAATAAATACCTAAACTGTAAAAAATAAGAACTTTACATCAAATTTATATGTAAATTTGTTTTTGTTTGGATCCAAAAACTATATTTAATAATTAATAAGGACTAGTATCACACATAAACATGCTAAACGCTAAACATCATACTAGGTATATCTATTCTGTGTACTAATCGAGTATATTGGCTATTTGGCTACATTGCTACAATAATATACTTACAATAACATATTATACGGTTCTATAAATAGATGGGAAAAATATTATTTCATTTCTTACTGTTGTTATTTCACGAGAAACGATAATAACTAGGCTGATGCCTGATATCATAGTGAGCTATTCCGGCTATTTATACATTGAAAAAGATAAAACTAAATCGTTACTAAATGACACTATTTTAAATATATTTGAAAAAAGGTGTAATAGGTTAATACAATTAAGTTAAAAATGGCTAATGTATTTTATTTATTTTTCCTTCGTGAGTATTCTAATTAGTAGGTATAATAATAAGAATTTTTAATTATTTTAATGAGTTATTATTTTTTTTTTTTTTATTTAAGAAAATTTACAATCTATATACAATTTATATAATAAGTAAATATGATGAACAATATTACAGGACATGAAAATCTTGAGGGAAGGGAGTATGCAGTGACACTACTTCCAATGAGTTATTAAAATTAAAAAAAGTGTTGGGAGTGTGGGGGCAAAGCCCCCACGGGTTTGTTTGCTACCAACTATTTGAGCCCCCCTCAATATTTCAAATTATCTCCGCCTATGTATCGTTGTCCCAAATCCGTTGTACAGTCAAACACAACGATGATATGTTGTTAACACCAGAGCTTGGGACTTATAGAATTTGCTTATTTTTAAGGTTTGATGCAAAATCTAGCAGATTACGGTGGAAGTATATATGTCGTGTTGCAACACGTTCAACTCCAAAATTTTCAAGTACATTTTTCAATTTTTCAGTTTATTTTATTATTTTATTTTATTAAATTATTTTATTTCTGCTTATATTTCTGTTTCTTCTCCGTCGTATCATATTTCATAATACTAAACACCGGGACTCGTAATTGCTCTAATATCTACTAAACGGCCAAGTTACTACATTTTTTTAGAAAATATATAAGAAGTATGGTAAAGATGTTAAATTATTTTCAAAAATACAAAAAGATTTTGATTTTTTTAAAGATAATTTTTTTTTTATGCAACTGAGTTTAAAAATGATGGTATGTTGATGTCACTCTGCTGTATTGTAGGTTACAAGTGGTTTACTGTAATGAATGGTGTTAAATTTGAATTAAATGATCTAAAACTATATTGTATACGAATAACGGTTCTGAACGAAGATGGTCTGTCAGTATATAATATTACTTAGTAATTTATGTTATTGTGATTAAAGTAATTTATTTTACTATTAAGCATTAGTACTACAGTAAGTTAAATTAATTTTTGCCAACAAAATTAGATTTTAAAAGTATTGTGTGTATAAAATATAATATACCCAAAAAGTGTCAAGTAAGTACCCCTGAATAATATTTTTATATTACAACACTGCAACTATTAAATCATTATTCTTGGTTATTTTATAATACGTAATTTCGTCATAATTTGAACGTAAGATAACTGTGCGTATATATTCTTTGGTTACAGAATTAACGACTTGTGTGCAGCTTTATTTTATAATATTTATCCATAGTTATAAAAGTTGAACATCTAATAAATATTTAACAACAAAATAATTTGTACATTTTCAATTTGGTATATTTTGTCAATATTTCAAATTATAAAATAAATCGTACCTTTATATTTTGAATATTTTGTAACAGATATTTATATTTAAAAAAATTAAAAAGATTGAAAATTAGAGATGTCCATAAACAACTGAAAACGAGTTAAATTTATTAAAATTTTATTAAGTACACAAAAAGCAATAACAAACCGTTTATATACAAATTTAATCATAAATCATTTTCAATAATAACTATTTAATTAAAAACAAAATATTCAATTAAAAAGAATTATTCCACAAACGAAAGTGTTGTCTCAAAACAGTATAAACTATCTTAAAAACCAACACAAAAATATTTTTAAATTAATATTTTTAATAATGCAGATAACCATCTGCAATAAATAAAGAGGCTACATTTTCATTTAGATTTTATTTTCAGATAATAGCAAATTAGCATTATATTATAATATACAAAGTGATCATTTAAGCATACTCATAATATATTTGTATGCTTAAACTATTCATAAATATTATAATTAAATTCTGATTTTCGGATTTTTAAATAGGTACACACGAAAACCATATTTTTGAATTATTGAGATTTTTTTGTACTACTTACTAGATGATCCTTTGTAAATACAAACTTCTGTTTTGTTTCAAAAAGAAAACTGCCCATTTCTTTTTTTAAATTTAAGCAGATATTGTTTTTTGAGGATTAAAATGCATATTTTATATCAAATTTCAAGAGAGTTGCTTCTGAGTTATAAAGCTTAGTGTACTAAGGATATGTCAATGGCAACGAGTTCATATATATTACATCTAATATCATAGCTTATATTTTTATAAAATCATTATTATCTTCTGTGTATACATTTTAATAATTCAGAGACTACTAACTATAATTTTGATTTAGATCATCAAAATTCTCAACAAAATTATAATTGATTGTATTATAAATTAATTATACCAATATCATGGTTGATCACGTACGCAATCTTAAACACACTTTCATTTTTTACATACTCAGAATTTATAAGCAAAGAAAAAAATACAATTTCTGAAGGAAAATAATAAAGGGCGAATATTATTATCCTGTGATTAATAATATAAACAGTATTCATTAATACATAGTGGTCGATCACTAGACATTTAACATTTTAAAGTGGCTCACTTGTTGTAAAAGGTTGGAGACCCCAAAAAATAATTTGAAGCTCCTCATAAGTTGTAATTTATTTTTTTCCAGGACCCCGTGAAAAGTAGCACAGTCCCCGACGATACCTATACCAATTATTTACCAATTGAATGAGGTTTCTTTCAATCGCACCAGAAATCACAGGTAACAAAAAAACAATTATAGGGTTGAAAAAGGTTATACATAAATGGCTTCAGAATTATTGAGGTACAAAAAAATGGTTTTACATCTATACATTGCTCTGGACAATATTGAAGTACCAAAAATGCTTTATCATTAAGTGTAAAAGTTGAAAAATATACGATCATTTCTAAAGTCAGTAAGTTACTATTACACAAATTAATCAATTTAACAATGAACAGTGAACCTTTTCATCTCAAAATATATTTTAGATTCCTTTTTTTCAACACTTATTCAGTACACTGAATATTTTCGCTATAATATTTGTCTGGCACAATAAATGTACCTATACCATTTTATGTGTGATAAATACACTTTCATGAAAAATATATTGTTAAGATGTATGATCTTTTTAATTTGTGAAAAAATTCATCGATGCAAAAGATGCACACCTATATTTCAAGTAGTCTAGAAAAATCGGCTCAGTTGATCAATACTATTGCGAACGGATTCAAGAACTGGGGTTCATAGGCAAGTGGCAACTTTCCTTTCCAACTAAAACAGTTTATTGTACTATTATAAACTGTTATCATTATAATTTTTTTTATTTCTGAAAACATAATATTATACTATTTAAAACCAATGGAGTTTTAAATTAATAAAATACTTAACTCAAAGCCACAATAAAATTAATTAGTTGATACGTACTGCACATCATAAAAAAAACTTGAACACGTTAATGCCCAGCTTTGGGAATTAATTTATAGCTTAGCCCTCTTTATAGATTTAAGTTC